CCTGCCTTCCTGCCGTTACCTGCAGAGAGCCTTCCTCGCCCTAAACACCCCAAAATCCCCTCTCCCTTCAAAGGACCCCAATTCCAGCTGCTCGCTTCTCATTTCCGCGGGTGGCAAAGCCTCCATCCCAAGAGGAGAGAGCGCAATGAGCCCCTCAGCTCTGTCGGTGCTGCTTGGGGCTAATTACCAGCGCTAATTATGGCCCTTCTGCTCCATCCACAGGCTTCCCAACCCCTGGCTTCCTTCTCCAGCATCTGTGCGCTGCCGGCACCTCCTCCTCCCCCTGCACCATCGACTTTATCACAAGGACTATTTTTAGCGCCGTGTACAAAGCCATTCCCATCACCGTTCCGTGGCGTTCACCTCTCTCTCTCTCTTTCTCTCTCCCTTTTTTTGTGCCTTTTTTTATTTTTTTTTTGAGGTTTTTTTTTTTCCCCTCCTCCTGAGCACTCCAGGAAACGAAGGCAAGGCTGGGAAGATCCCCCGTGGGAATGGTGCGTGTGTGCGGCCGTGTGTGTGCTGGGGCTGGCGTGTGCCTTTGCTCGGGGCTCGCTCTGCACCAGCGGCGCGGAGCAGCACATGCTCTCCCCATGTGCCTGTTTACGTGCTCTGTATGTCTGTCCGGCCGCATTTGTGTCACGGCTCGGCTGCAGACACCGCCGTGGGAGCCCCCCCCACGCAGCCCCCAGCACCTCCCTCCTCTTCCTCACCTCGCCCAGCACCCCTCCTCCCGTGGGGAATTGCAGCTGCTGTGAGAGCAGCTTCTCCTCCTGTTCTGCCAAAGCTCCCACGGCACCCCAAAACCTTTCTGTGCCCTGGGACAGGGGCTGTGTGTCCCGTGTGACAGGGCCGCTCTCACCCCAAAACCTCCCATCCCTCGGGATGGGGGCTCTGTCTCCTGTGTGAACATTCCCACTCCAAACCCCAAAGCCCTCGGGATAAATGCTGTGGATGACAGGATCAATCCCACCCCAAAACCCCCCAAATCTCCCATCCCGAAAGATGGATGCTCTGAATGACAGGACCATTCCCACCCCAAACTCCCCATCCCTCTGGATGGATACTCTGGATGACAGGACCGTTCTCATCCCTAAACTCCCATTCCTCGGAATGGGGGCTCTGTGTCCTGTGTGAACATTCCCATCCCAAATCCCTCATCCCTTGGGACGGATGTTCCCTGGACCATTCCCACCCCAAACCTCCCAAACCGCAGCAATGGTGAGTCTGGGCAGCCCCGTGCTCATTGACACGAAGATGAGAGCAGGGAATTCTGAGGGAATTGTGGGGAGACCCCAGCAGGATCCCCACTCCTGACTTCCCTTCTCTGCACCACTCAGGGGCTCCCAGGGGCTCTGCCAGGGCGCCTCAAGGCGAGGAGAGGTGCATTGGGATTTTTTCATCCTGTGGAGATGACGGCAGATTTTGGGAACTCAAAGGTTTGGTTCTATAGGAGAGGGGAGGCTTTCCGTGGAAATGCCTCCCTAGGTCAGGGAAAGACAAATTCCAGCTTTATGGAGTTCTGTTCCAGTAAATGCCAGAAGTAATTTCGTTTGATAATTTACCGCACTCTTATCCTAAAGTTTCTTTATTCCCTCTGTGGATGCCGTGGTAGCACTTGGATCTCAGTAAAGGATCTCCCAGCAGGGATCCCACTGAAGGGATGTTTCTCCCAAGACTTTCGGGACATTTTCCCTCAAACCCTTGGGAGCTGGCGGTCCATGACAGCAGCGGGACTCTCTGGATGGATGTCACCACGCCCTATCGCATTCCCGAGGGGCACAGGAGGGTGTCCCTGTCCCCATCCCACCGCAGCACGCCCCTCGGCAGGTGGGGAGAGCGAAGAGCCGAGGGGTCAGAGCCGAGCGCGGCGGCTCCCGAGGTGGCGGTGCCTGTCCCCATCAGCAGAAGTGACAATCAGCTGCCAAGTGCCGGGTGACCTCCCCCGGCAGCAGCGGGCTGCCCGCTTGTCTTGGAAACGCCTTCTCGGCGCACACACGCGGCTTTCCAGTAGGTGCTTTTCCCGCACCTACTCGGGGTCTCCAAAGGTTTAAACGTTCATGTTCCCTGGATTTCAGGCTGGCAAGGATGAGGCCTCCTGATGGCCTTATTGCCATGGCCCTGCAGCTCGAGCTCTTCCCCTCCCCTCCGCAATCCACGGGATCACTGCCGGGCTTTTGGGGATCTCTGGAGCATCCTCCGAACCCCGGGTTGTGGTAACTGTGCCTTCGGAGGCAGCTACCTGGAAAGAGGAGCTGGAATGATCCCTCTCAGCATGGCAGAGGGAGCTGCTTGCTTCCAATTTAAATCAGGTGTCAACGCTGAGAGAGAGGATCCTCTTAACTTCCACCGTCTTGTCTGAGGCTGCGACGGGGGGACGTCTCATCTCCCTGCCGTCTAATCCGCGGAGATGTGTGATATAGCATAAGCTAATATAATAGGTCATGCAAGGATTTACATCTCATTACGGCAGGTTAGAGTCCTGGCAGGAAGGATGACTCATCCTCACTTGAATATATTTCAGGGATGAGGAACGCTTCAGCTGCCCAAGGAAAAGCAAATGGGGAAATCAACCACCTCGAAGCCTCATTTCCCAGCTCGCTGCACTCTCTGATTGTCCCCGCAGCTCTGCCTCCAGGTGGGACACCGGCCTCTCCGGGGAAAGCCGAGGCAATGGCAGAGCTGTAAAACCTCTCCAGACGCCCCTTCCTTGCCTTTTGCTCCGTCCCGATGAAACCCGGGCTGCAAGAGGCTGCAGAGCCCGAGCATCCCTGCCACGAGGGACGGGAACGCCGGGCTTGTTTTCACCTAGTTGCCTTGGCCGAGCGGTTCTGCTCGTCAGGAGCTGTTTGCTCTTAGTTCCTCAGACAGGGAGGCTCCGTGGGAGCTGACCCATCTAACCCAGCTGGAAAAAATCGGTCCTGACTTCCAGTCTCTTATTGTTAATGGACGCTCGCAGCCAAATCCGGAGTGAGCCAAGCTCCCGGCACCATCCAAAATCTGTTCTGAGCCCACACCCGAGGGCCCACACCCGAGGACACAACCAGGCGTGCTGGTCCTTCTCCCTGCCCCTCTTTTCCCCAAGGTGACAGCCGGGACGTGACCGCGCTGTCTGCAATGGGACATCGATGGAGCGCCCGGGGCTCCCAGCCCGTTTCTCAGCAGGCTGGGGCAGCTCATTGCGGGTTAAAATGAATTTTCCATGGGTTTTCTATGGGAAAGGGCTGAGGAGGGCCTGCAGATGGGTGTGAAAAGCAAAAAAATCATCACTTCAAAAAGCTGTTGAGGCTCCTGAGCTGCCAGCTCGGGGTGAGCAGCAGGCACAGGGGCACCTGCGAGGTGGGGGATGCTGTGGGTGACACTGGAGTCGTGGGTGACACTGGAGCCGTGCCAAACGGAGGCGCCTCGGAGGGATCTCCCCCGTCCCAGCGTCAATTTTCATGTTTGGATGGACTCAAGGGGACTGCTGGCCTCAGTCAGGGGGCTCTGCTCTTCACCAGGACAAATCCCCCGCTGTCACCTCCAAAGTGCCTTCCAATCCCTAAGAGCATCCCTCAGTGCCAAGCTGCTGACCAGATTATTATCCTAGGAAAACGCGTTATTTTTTAATCTCTTTTCCTCTTAAGATATAATTTTACCTTGGGCGGGGGGGATGGGAGGAGATGGGCCCATTCCCCCTCCCTCTGTCACTTTGTCCTGTCCCTTCACAGCTGTTCCATCATTTTAATCTGCAGAGATTGTCTTTGTATTTCGGAAATGAAATGATTTCCCGCAAGCCGGGATTGGGGTTTGGATCCGCGCTCATTTTTCATGAGCGGAGAAGAAAAGAGGGAGGAATGTCTGTTAAAGCCAGGCTGGCCATCTGGAAGGGAGGTGCGCTGCTGATGCCATTAATTGCTCACTCCCCAAGGCCTGGAATGCGGCTGCAGTCAAAGGGAAGAGCAGGAGTGGGAGAGGGGATGGAGAGAGCGAGGGAATGATGCAACAAAATCAATGCCTGCTCCATCCTCATTTAGGTGATCAATGAACGCTTTCGTGCCTGTGTTCTGCGGGCTGAGAGCAGCTTTGGTATTAATTAATATCGGAAAAATCATGGGATCACAGACTTCCAAAACGGCTGGAGTCAGAAGGGACTTTAAAGCTCTTCCAAGCTCCAACCCCCTGCCATGGGCAGGGACACCTTCCACTACCCCAGGCTGCTCCAAGCCCTGTCCAGCCTGGCCTTGGACACTTCCAGAGATGGGAATACTTCCAGGGATATCATTAAGAGGATAAAGGGGAGGGAACTTTTGGGCACCAGCCCCTGGATGAATGAGCAAACAACATTTGTGCCTGGTGCTGGTACATATGGCTTGTTCCGAGCGTCAAGCGCGGCTTTTCCTCCTGCCAGACCCGAAGGATGGGGAACGGAGCGGGAGAAAGGGCACTGGGGCGGCTTTGCTCCTCGGTGGGATGAAGCAGCCGGGAATCTCGGAGGGAAGGGTGTCCGGGGGGCTCCCCGCAGCCCCCACCTTGGCTCCATCCATCCCGGTGTCGCCGGGGGGCTCTGGGGGCTCCTTCTTCTTCCCGCGGGGGTGGCGGCACTCGCGGTGGCCCGGGGCGGGTCGGGACGGCGGCGGCTCCGCCCGGCGGAGGGCGGCGGGGCCGGGGGGAGGCGGCGGGGCCGGGGGAGGCGGCGCTGCCGCCGCCGTGCAGGGACACACACACCGGAGCTGTGCGAGCCCCGGTGCTGCAGCGCCCGCTCCGCTCCCGGCCGGGACCGCTCCGCCATGGGCGGCCGGGCGGCGCGGCCCCGCTGACCCCGCACACCCCGGCAGCAGCTCCGGCATCCCGCACTCCCACATCCCGGCTGCCCGGGAGTCCAGCATCATCCCAGCAACTCCGCTGTGCCGGGAACTCACCTCCACAGCATCCCGGCTCTCCGGGAACTCCGCTCCTCTGAGCCCGGCTCCTCCATCTCTCGCTACTCCGGCATCCCGGGAACTCCGTACTCCACCGGCACGGGAACCCCGCTGTGCTGACCGCTAGTCCCGGCTCCTCCGGAATTCGGTACTCTGTCATCCCGGGAATTCATCTCCGCTGACCCCATCTCCTCCATAACCCCGTGCCCCAGCCCCCGGGAAGCCATCTCCCCCGTCCCCGGCTCCTCCGCCGCCCGGTGCTCTGGTACCCCGGGACCTCAGCTCTCCGTCATCCCGGGAATTCATCCTCTCTGAACCCTTCTCCTCCGTGACCCCGCACCGCAGCTCCCCGGGGACTCGGCTCTGCTGACCCCGACTTCTCATCACTCGGTATTCCGCCCCTGGGAAATTCATCTCTGCTGTTCCTGGCTCCTCAGGAATTCGGTGCTGTGTGAGCTTGGCTCCGCTGATCCCGCATCCTCCATAACCCCGTACCCCAGCTCCCCGCCAACTCGACTCCTCTGACCGCGACTCCTCCCCGGGACCTCCGTTCGCCTCCCGTGTTCCCACCTCCTCCTATCCCCGCTCATCCCGGTGCCCCCATTCCCCAGGAGCCCAGCTCGGCTCATCCCGGGGATGAGCAGGAGCTCCCCGGGCACTCAGCGCTCCACTGCCCTGGAGCTCCTCTCCTGTGACCCCAGCTGCTCCATAACCCGGCACTCCGGCTCTCCACAGCATTCCCAGTGATTCTCTCCTCCCGGCCCCCCAGCGCTGCCCATTTCTCGTTTCCCTGTCACTCCAGCTCACCCTTAGCCCCATTCCCGGGGGTCTCCTCATTTTGCACACCCCCCATCCCCTCCGGAGCCCCCCGGTGACCCCGGCTGTCGCAGCTGCAGAGCCGCGCTGCCCCCCGGCCCCCCGACGGCGCGGCCATGGCGTTCATGGTGAAGAGCATGGTGGGCGGGCAGCTGAAGAACCTCACGGGCGGCCTGGGCGGCGAGGAGAAGAGCGAGGGCGAGAAATCTCCGGCCGAGGCGCAGGGCATGACCCGCGAGGAGTATGAGGAATATCAGCGGCAGCTGGTGGAGGAGAAGTGAGTGCGGGCAGCATCGGGATCCGGCACGGGCTGCACCCCCGGGGTCCCTGCGGGAAGGGGGTGATCCCGCTGCGGTCCCACATCCCGCGCGTGGGAGATGGGGACAGCAAGACCGTGAGGGGGTTTAATGAGCCCCCTAATCCCTTAATCCGCTTCCTCGCCCGGGAGATGGGATTGCTTTCTCCTTCCAGGCTGCGCTGGGGGGAGGAAATTGTGGGAAACCGGGAGTTTTCAGAGAAAATGGGGGGTTCTGATGTCGGGGGGAAGCGCAAACAGCGGGATGGGGGGCACGGGCTGTTGGTAAGTGCCCCGTGTGCTCCGCAGGATGGAGAGAGATGCCCAGTTTGCCCAGCGCAAGGCGGAGAGAGCCACGGTCAGGTCCCACTTCCGAGACAAGTACAGGCTCCCCAAGGTACGGCTGCCCTGGGAACGGGGGGCAAAAGGGGAGCCGAGCTCCGTATGGAGTGAGGGGAAGGGACAAGGATCCCCTGGGCTGGCTGGGGTTTGAGCCTCAAAGCCCAAACGCAAATAAATTCCCCTCAAAACCGTCTTTGTCCCCAAACTTTGGCCCCTTTCGTTCCCCCGAGCACCACAAACCACCAGCCCGGGACGGTGGGACTCCCAGCCTCGCCTGATCCCCCCTTTTCCTCGCTTTTGCCCCCTAAATCCAGCTGGGTGAGGGAAAAGCAGCTTCACACCCAGACTCCCCGGAGCCGGGAGCGGAGCCAGGGTCACACCTTCCCGCCTGGATTAGCCAGCTCCCCTCCCCGGATTATTTGGAGAACGTTTCCCACCTAAACTCCAATTTTGGAATTTCCGCACGATGAACGATTCACTAAAAACAATTTAATCAAGGGATAATTCAGCCTTTCTTGGAATTGTCACAAGCTCTTCTCCTTCCAAACCCACCCTTTATTCAGGAGGAGTCGTTCAGTGGTGAATACTCCAAATTGGAGCCGGGCTAATATTAGTTCCAAAGGGTCAGCTAAGCCAAGTGAGATTGCTCCGATTGTTTGGCGTGTTTCAGCCAGCCTGGATTCACCCCCCTTGCTTCCCACCCCCCTTTTATATCCAGGAAATAAACAGCTGGAAAATTTCTTTTTACCCCCTGCCAAAAGCCAGAAAAGGCAGAGAAAGAAGAGATGGAGATTTTTTTATTCTCCAAGGGAAACCGGGATTTGTTTGGATCTGGCCCCACCATCCTTTCAGTGCCTTCTTGCGCTTGAGATGTCCCTTCTCATCTTTTGACAAGTTTCTTCTGCTCATTACTGATCCCTCTTGGCAGCCGGGCTGCCTCATCCCGAGTCTCCCCGCGACTCCCGGCTCGGATCTGATCCCGCCCGCCGGTGGGAGCAGTCTTTAAGCATAAGCGGAGCTTAATTAGGTGCCTAACCCCCCGCAGCGCCAGCCGGGAACCAGTTTGTACTGGTGCCGAGCGTGGGTTTCCAGGCCGGCTCTCGGCAGGCGGCATCAGCATCCCACCCTCACCCCCTGGGACATTCCCACAAAGTGGGAACGCAGCCCAAAACCCCTCCTGCGGTGCTTGCAGAAGCCTCATTCCCGCTGTGCCATCCCCCGTCCTGACTCTCTCCCGGCCCGTTCCAGAACGAAACGGATGACAACCAGATCCAGCTGGTGGGAGGTGACGTGGAGCTGCCCAAGGAGCTGGCCAAGATGATCGAGCAGGACAACGAGGAGGAGGAGGAGAAGAACTCGGTTATCGGCCAGCTCAGCAACATCCAGAACCTGGACCTTGATTCCTTGAAGGACAAAGCTTCGGCCACGCTAGAGGACCTGAAGCAATCGGCGGAGAAATGCTCCGTGATGTGATGGGGCTGAGCAGGGAGGGGACGCAGCGCAGGGTCTGGCGGGGGCTGCTGCCTGCAGCGGGGACCCCAGCGACGTTGTCACCCTTGCCGTGTGTCACTCGGGTCCTCCTGGGCCGTGTGACCCCTCTCGAGTCCCTGACCCAGATGTCCCTGATGTGTGGCTTCCGTTCCGTTCTCCGGGCTGAGGTTAGGGCCAAGAGCCAGCATGTCCCCCCCGTACCCCAAGGCCTCCTCCCGTGCCCGTGCCGGGGCAGGGGGTGTCCGCAGCCAGAGCCCCGCAGGTTGCAGGGAAGGAGAGCGACCTCGGAGTGTTCTTGACCTTGGAGTGGTGGCCACACTCTGCGGCTCTGCCTCCACGTCTCAGCCTCCCAGGAACGACCGGGAGGCTCCGATTCGCCTCGCAAGGACGAGGCGGGGTGTGGAACATCCCCCCTCCCCGCGTCCCGTAGCCATCACCCGAGAAACGCCATCCCATCCCTGCGAGGAACATCACCCCCGTGTCCTTGAGGGCCCCTCCGAAGGAGCCAGCCGGGAAGGACCTGCCATTCGATCCCGCTCATCCCTGTGGGAAGGGGGGTGCTGAAGCCTGAATTGACACCAGAGAGGAACAAAAGCCCTCCCTGGCGCTGAGCTGAGCCCGCAGCCGCCCTTCCCCGGAGCAGTGGTGTCCCTCTCCCGGGATGGGATCCCGTCCTTGTTCCTTCCAGGAGCAGAACAAAGCGATGGGGGAATGAATATCTCCCCGTCCTCCCTCTCGTCGTGCCGTAGTCGTGCTGTGCTCGGTTGAGTGTCCCTCACCTCCCGTGCTGTCCCCGTGCCATGGTACTGTTATAACCGGTGGAATAAATACCAGGAGATGTCTATGCATTTCTTTTTCTCCCCGAGCTCTCTTTCCCTGGCCACATTTTCCTAATTTCCTGGTTTTGGGGTGCCCCTTCCCGAGGCAGGGACAAGAGCTCCAAGAAATCTGTGGCAGCAGAATCCCGAAGAAAAACACCTTTCCTGATTGCACTCACGTTTGGGACCGAAGGGATGCTACGAGCAGCTCGTTGGCCGCAGTCGGGTTTAAAAGCAAACAAAATTCCCTTTTTTCCGCAGATTTTTTTGGCTATTTTGATACAAAACCTTCGGAACGCTCGGCCTCACGGGCACTGCAGGGTGTCCAGCACACTGCTCCAAGCAAGGACACTCCCTGCAGGGATAAACCCGTGCTAGTGCAGGTGTCACTCCCAGCATCCCGGCAGGCAGGGGGCTCCTGTGGTGAGGTTTCCCGGAAAAACTTGGCATGGGTTGGGAATTTATTGCTCCAAATCCCGTGGGAGCTGTTTAGCTGCAGTTTGGTTTTGCAGGAGAGGATGGGTCATCCAGGGAAACACAGGAGAGGGTGCTGGGAAATTATATTATTATTATTATTATTATTATTATTATTAAGGGTGTAGGATCAGGCCTTGAGGCTGCTGCACCAAGGGATTCCTTTCTGCCCCCAGCCCCCCGATAATCCTGTGCCAGGGCCAGGAGTTCTGGAAAACTCCTGCTGTACATCCCTGAGAGGACAGACAGACAGACAGAGGCAGCTCAGGACACACATCCCCACAGCCCTGCAGCCCCTGGGACCAGGAGACTGCAGGGACATCTGCTCCCATCAGATCCCCCAATCCAGCCCCACACAGCGCTGGAAAGCGGGAAAAAAACCCAGCGGGGAGATTGGCAGGAGCAGCTTCAGCGCTGGAAGGAGATCATACCTGATGAGGATCAGCCCCAGCTGATCTAATCCCGCAGCAGGAAAGGGATAGCAGGGAGCAGGCACGGCCCCAGCCGTGTTTAAATCCCACGGCAGGGCACGATCAGCGCTCATCCCACCGGAGAGCGGGATCCCATTTTGGGGATGCAACCCCAAAAACCATCCAGGATCCCCCTCCCGCACCTTTTCCTCGGCCCCTCCTTGCTCTGCCCCCCGTGCCCGACCCCTGGGCTGCGCTCCGAGCTCTCCCGGCCCACGTGCAGCCACGCAAAGGCCGCGTGAAGCTCAGCGGGTTTATTTTAGGAGGCTCCATGACCCCCAGGCATGTGAAAAGCCAGGCAGCCCCCGCTCCCCCCGCCCGGCTCCCGACACGCGTTAAGCCTCAGCAAAGCGTTCCCGGCAAAGAGAGGCAGCGGCGGCTCCGAGGATGCTCCAGCGAGGCTGCATCCCTGCTCCCAGCGAGGAGGAGAGGCTGGGATGGGGATGAGAGGATGGGATGGAGGGAGGAGAAGCTGGGATGGGGGGATGAGAGGCTGGGATGGAGAAATGAGAGGCTGGGATGGAGGGAGAAGAGGCTGGGATGGGGGATGAGAGGTCGGGATGGAGGGAGGAGAGGCTGGGATGGGGTCAGAAGGAGCAGGCTGCCCCCTCCTGCCTTTTCCCTGCCCACCAAGGGATGCATCCCAGTTTCCAGCAGTTCCTTGCTGCTGTATCCCGAGCATCCCTGCAGCCTCCATGCCATATGAGTGCTCCAGGCATCAACACACAGACTAAAAATCTTACAGCAAAGAATAAGTGTGGATTAAAGCAGAATTTTTTTTTTTCCCCCTCTCTTTTACAGGCCTTATATAATTTCCTCACCTATGGGGCTGGGTTTGTCCAAGCAAACTGGAAGATGCTGGAAAAAGGAATTTTGTCTATAAAATAAAATAAGTTTTATTGATCAAATAAGATAAATTTTATTGACAAAACTCCTGCCCTCCTGCACCAGCTGTCTGCAGGATCCTCCTCATTCCCAGTGGTGAGTGTGGATGAGTGAGTGGATTCCCCAATGGATAAAGCATTAAATGAGCAATTGTTAAAGCACTGAAACAAATGAGCTGCCATGGAAGCCCGGGATATCTCCCTCCTTCTTTTTGCAGGCAATTAAACCTCCCTGGGAAGGGATGGCCCATCCCTCCCTCACTGCTGGTCCAACAGTCGGGATTAAAGCAGATTAAAGAGCCCTGGGAAAGCCCGAGGTTGGCTCCACACACTGACCCAGCTCTCCCCAGCCCCTCGTGTTTGACCTCACCTCAACCCACGGGCTGGCAACAATTTTCCAACCCCATCCCAAACCCCTCCCACATCCCAACCATTCCCAGTTTTCCCCTTCCCAAACCCCATTCCCAATTTCCCACATCCCAACCATTCCCAGTTTTCCAACCCCAACCCAAATCCCTCTGACACGCCAACCATTCTCAATTTCCCACATCCCACCACAATTCCCAGTTTTCCAACTCCATCCCAAACCTCTCCCACATGCCAACCATTCCCAATTTTCCATATGGCAACCATTCTCCATTTCCCACATCCTACCATAATTCCCATTTTTCCAACCCCATTCCAAACCCCTCCCACGTGCCAACCATTCCAAATTTCCCACATCCCAGCCATTCCCAATTTCCCACATCCCAGCCATTCCCAGTTTTCCCCATCCCAGCCATTCCCAAGTCACAGTTTTTCCACGTGAAGAGAACACCCATCATGTCCAACCTCACGGATTCTCCCCCGACCCAGCTGCCTCTCCCACCCCTCTCTGGATGACAATCCAGCCCCAAGAGCCACCCCCTGAGGGCTGGAAGAGCCCTGGGGAGGGAAGGGCTGGTGCTGGCATGGATGGGACTCATGGATGGGAATCATGGATGGGACTCATGGATGGGACTGGAGCAGAGCAGCTCCTCCCTGCGCAGCCGAGTGACAGAGGCCACGCTCCGCTCTCTTCGTGCCACCTTCCCTCGGTGACATTTGGGCAGCCAAAATCCCCGGTGCAGGCCATACTCACACCCACCCCGACACAAATTTGGGACAACCCGGGCTCCATCACCCCCAGGGGAGCATCCAGAGCCCGGTCCTGCTCCGAGGGCTGGGCTGTGCTGGCGGCCGAGCGTGAAGGCAGATGCGATTATCCGCGCTCGCCACGGCCCGGGGGAGGACACGGGCTTGGAAAGCACTTTAAACCCTCAGGATATAATCTCTGCTCTGAATAATAATGATAAGAAGAATAAAAAAAAGATGTTAAAGTGCCTGATCGTGTCTGCCCGGGAAGCTCCGGGCTGGTTTGAGCACAGAGCAGCTGGCACAGGGGAAGGATCTGGGGGGAGGCTGACTTGGGAAGAGGTCACGGCTCAGAATGTTCATGGGACACCCCAAAAATCCCCTCTGTGGTTTGTTTCAGCCCTTCTGCCCTCCCTCATGGCCCAGGCACAAAAATCTATTGGAGAAAACAGGATTTTACGTAACAGCTCGTGTTGTTCTGCTCCGTGTTTTCCTCGCACACAAAAAAATAAAAAGATGGGAAGTGAAAACAAGGTCAAACCTTGCTTTGGCTGCCTCGTGTCCCCAGGGAGCACGGGAAGTGAGAGCACTGCTGGAGCAGAGGAAGGGACACCCCAGCTCTGCTCCTGGGGGAACAGGGACAAGGTTCCCCAGCCCTCCTCGATGGCTCCAGGACCCCAGGCTGGCTCTGGGTCCCGGGTTTGCCTCAGGACCCTCTTAGGCTCAAATCACAAACTCGAGTGCTGAGGAGGTGGAGAAATCAAAATTAAAGTTTATTAAAGACAATAAATTACATTCCCTTGAGATACAGTAGATTTCGAGACAAGTACCTTGTTTTGCAGGGCAGGCAAACTCAGCACCCTGCACCAGTGACTCTGGAACATGATTTGGATGTCGGGGGTGTCAGGGCCCTGAGGAGTGGAGCAGGGCAGGCAGGATGCTGAGAGGGTGTCCCCGAAGGCGACTGATTGCTGCTCGTGCCCGACTCCATCAGTCCCTGCTGAGCACTGCTCACTGTCACGACACTGATGACACAGCCAGTACCTGACAGGCTCCAGGTTCAGGAAGGAAAAGCCTCATTCCCGGTGCTCCAGCAGTGAGAGGCAGGGAGGTATGGCCGGGCTGGGCCAGTGCAGTGGGTGCTGGAGGCTGGATGCAGAGGTAGATGCTGGGCGAGGAAGGCACAGCCGGAGCATCCCTGTCCACCCTCAGCTCCCAGCTGGATTTGTGCACCTGGACCATGTGGGCTCCTCCAGAATTTGGGAGGTGGAAGAACCACCCAGCTGAAAAAGCAGGGGGGATATCCTGCCAGGATAAAAATACCCTTCCCTTGGCAGCCAGCGGAGGGAATTAGGGTGGAATAACCCGCCCGCTGTGGCAGGGGAGGCTGCAGCAGCAGACGGTGCAGGCAGGGCTGGCAGGGAAATGAGCCAGCGCCTGCACAGGGGCAGATGGCCCCGCAGAGCCCCCGGGGCTGGCAGCCCCAGGGTGACCTCCCAGGTGTCACCCTGGAGCGGGGGGGGACGGAAGCCTCGTCTCCTCTTGGCGTCTCCTGGCAGGGCAGCGAGCAGAGTCCTGCTGGGCAGCTCCCGGGAGTCACTGCAAGGTACAGGCTGTGCCGGGGCACACCGGGACTCACCGGGCTGCCTGTGCCCGTGCCACCCCTCCCGGAGGGCTCCCGGGTGGGGTTGGGATCAGGGATATCCCCACGGCTGTGGAGCTGGAGGAAGATTGATTCCCCCAGTCCCCCTGGGAAAGGGCGACTCACCGCTCCGGACGGATTCTGCCAGAGCCTCTTTGCCCATGGATTGTGCCTCCCGCATCTGCCAAGGGAGAGGGGGCTTTTCCAGCCTTTATCCTCCCCCAGCACGCTCTGGAGGCCCCTCCCAGTCATCATACCTTGATCTGATCCTTCAGATACTCGGCTCGGGCCATCAGGGTCTGGATCTGGTGGGGAGAGAGAAAGGACACAGTCCCTCTGGAGCCAGGCCACCAGGGACAGCCTGGGGAGTCCCAGGGCTGGCACTCACCTCTGCATGGAGCAGCTCCCGCCACCGCCCCGCCGGCTCCGCTGCAGGGGAAACGGGAAACAGGATGAGGGAGGGGAGCAGGAGCCATCCTGGCCCTAAAAGCCCCTAAAACAGCCCAAACTCACCGGCCAGGAGCAGCAGCAGCTCCCCCAAGCTCTGCTGGTACAGCTCCAGGGCGTCACTGTCATCCCTGCCTTCCTCCTCCTGCAAGAGGCCCCGGGGGCTGGCTGTGGTTGGGGGATCCAGCAGCCCCCTCCCCTCCCCAGCAGGGTTGCAGCTTCCCCTTCCCTCCAGGGGTGAGGGGACCCCCAGGGTCACCCCTCACCTTGGCAATGGCAGCTGAAGCCAATTCCAGCGCCGAGCAGAGCCGAGGCTTGTCCTTGGCCATCTCTGCAAGGGGACACGGCTACAGGGATTGCCCAAAACCTTCACCCTTCAGCCCAAAACCCCGACCACTGCCCCACAACACCGGGGCACGCTCAAACATCACTACCTTTAAGGAGCTCTCTGGCCGGGTTTCCTTTCTCCAGGAGGTTCTTGTTGCTGGAGGTGACCAGCACCTTCAGCTCCTCTGCTCGGGAGATGTACTGCCTCACCTGTGCACATTTTGGGGGTGAGGAGACCCCCAATACGGGGTGCAGAGGATGGGGGTGCTGCCCTCACCCCCGCAGGGATTTTGGCTCACCTTGGCCCGGATGGCTTCTTTGCGCCGCGCATCGCTTTCATCTGAGGGGGAAAACGACCAAACACAGGGGTGGGTGGGCTGAAAATCCCCCCAAAAATACACCCAGGCCCCACATAAGCCCCGGGGGGGACTCACAGTGCAGTGCTGGAACGAAATACTCCAGGGCTTTGCGGTAGAGAGAGAAGGCGGCTTTGGCATCTCCCTCCTGATCCTTCCTCACTGCCTCCACCACCAGGTCGGTCTGGGGGACACAAGGGGGGTCTCAGAGCTTGGAACCCCCCAGTTCCCAGCGAGCAGCCCCCAGCCCCCACTGCTCACCGCCTTGCCCAGGCTCTCAGGGCCGGGGATGTGCTCCATGTCCACGAAGGGGTGGGCAAAGAAGCACTCGAAGGAGATGCGCTTCTGAGGGTCCCTCTCCAGCAGCTGCCCCAAGAGATCCCGGCATTCCAGAGAGAGCTGGGGCCGGCTGGGAAGCTGGGGAGGGAAGGGGCTGAGCCCAGTGACCACTGTGAGAACCCTCCCAGCTCCTCCATCCCACCCCACGTTACCTCCACAGCCCGGTCGCTGCGGATCTTCTCCTCCAGCTCGGCGAAGGAGCGGGAAGCGAAGGGCGGCTTCCCAAAAAGTGCTTCTGCAGGGGGAAAAGGAGCGGTGGGGGGAGATGGAGAGGGGGAAACCAGCCCTGAGCAGAGTCCCCCCGGGGCAGTAAAAGCCAAGCCCACCGTAAAGGATGACGCCCACCGACCACAGGTCTGCGCGGGCGTCGTAGTGCTGCCGACACACCATCTCGGGGGCCATGTAGAGCGGGGAGCCACGCAGCACGTGCTTCTCATCCCACGGGGACATGTACTGAGCAAAGCCGAAATCTGCAGCACACAGAGCTCGTGGGGCCACGGGGAAAAGGGATTTGCCCCCTCCCGGCCGCTCCCAAGGAGCTGCCCTGACCTGCCAGCTTCAGCTGGGGGTTCTCCGGGGCGCTCAGGAGGATGTTCTGCGGCTTCAGATCCAGGTGGGAGATGTTGTGGTCGTGGAGGAACTTCAGGGCGCAGGCTGGGCAGGTGGATGGGCACGTGATAGCACAGCCCTGCGCCCCAAAACCCTCGGGAAGGGTCCCCAGCAGAGGCAGAGCGGGAGGTAGAGCGGGGTGTCCTCACCGAGCTGCTGCAGGAAGACGCGTGCCACCTTCTCGGGGAGCATGCGGCGCGTCCGGATGAAGCGGGACAGGTCCCCCCCGGCGCAGAACTCCATGATCAGGTAGATGTGGTCACTGTCCCACTGCCAGGCAACAAGACTCCGCCGTGCCATCCCAGCCAGTCCCACCCACACAGCTTCACCTCAACCAGTTTGCCCAGTTGCTGGCACCAAGCCCCACGGATACACTCTTGGGAAACAGGGATGGATCCAAGCCAGAGTGGCTCTGGCTCAGAGGCTCCCCTAAGAAGCCCCCAGCCCACCTGGAAGTCCTTGAGCTCCACAATGTTGGGATGGCGGATGGTCTTGAGGATCTCGATCTCTGTCAGCAGGTTCTCCACCGATGCCCGGTTCAGGCTCCTCTTGTTGACACATTTGATGGCCACCACCTCACGCGTGTCCCTCTGCCGAGGAGGGGGGACAACGCTGGAGCCCCCCAACCAAAGAGCCACCCCGGGCTGCTACCCAGGAAGGGAAGGGACCCCTGCAAGGGGGCGGCAGGTGCCAGGCAGGGGCTGTAGGGGCGGTACCCCAAGTGAAGAGCTGGAAAAGGGGGACCCCACGGGAGGGGGGGATAGATTGGGGAGCAAAAAGGCGACCCCCGCGGCAAGCTCGGCCCTACCTTCCTGTAGGCCTTGTAGACGGTGGCGTAGGTGCCGGAGCCGAGGGGCTCGGTGAGGATGAACTCATCGAGGCGCGGCGGGGCCCAGCCGGCCCCGGCCATGGCCCCTCCGGAGCCCCGGTCCCGGCACTCGGGGCCCGGGAGCCGCTTCCGCCTTCCCGGCGCGCCGCGGCTCAGGCCACGCCCATGGCCACGCCCCATCCACCATGACCACGCCCACAACACTTTTATTCGCGAAACAAGCCACGCCCCCTTGTCCCCACCCCATTCACACTGACCACGCCTACACTGCGTTCACCCGCGAACCAAGCCACGCCCCCTGATCACACCCCATCCACACTGACCACGCCCCCCAACGCACACAGCCACGCCCCCCAAAATGGCCACGCCCCCTCCCGCTGGCACAGGCACCGTATCCGGACCACGTGAACAGTTTTTTATTAATAATTTTTTAAACATTAAAAGATCAGACGCAGGGGAAAAAAAAAAACAATAATACAGGAGGAAAAGGGTGTAAAAATACCGATTTCTGTACCCCAGCGCCCCGCTGCTGCCCCGCACCAGCACAGGATGGGGGCTAATACAACCCCCGCCCTGGCAAAGGGGCACCACAAAGCCAAATCTGCATGAAAGCCCCTCCACGGGGGCACCCAAACCCAAACCACGACACCCAAAGCTCGGGGCTGAAGGAGGGAGAGGTGGGAGTCTGCCCCCATCCACCCCTGCATCCCAGGGGACATCCCAGCTTGGGATGCAGCTGAACACTCATCAAAACAGCTCCTTCCCAGCTAAACAAAACCATTAAACTCGTGAGGAGGAAGGCAGGGAGGAGCCTTCCCTGGAGAAAGACTCATTCAAGGTTAGCTGGAGAAAGGCGTCACAGGCACTGTGTGTGACCTGGCATCTTCAGCTGCCCCAACCTGGAGCTGGGAGCCAAACCAAAATTCCTTTTCCCTTCCCTCCCTCCCTCTCCTGGTTTCAAGCCATCATTGATCCCTGCTCCCCATCTCCATGCCCGGGGCTGGCACCTGCAGGATCCTCGTGGAAGCAAGGGATGTGCCCTGGGGGGACCAGGGGAAATGCATCCCCCCACACATTCCCCCCTGCTCCCAGATTTTCCTTTGTGTTATGTTATCCTGGCTCTCAGGAAGCCCAGTAGCTATGAGGACAAAACACAGCATTGTGTGAGTGTAATAAACCAAAAGTACAGTTTCTGTTCTTAAAATTAACGACATCAACTACATGCACGTTACAAAACCCTCCCAAAACAGCAGATAATCAAATTCTTCGTAGCAAAGGCCGAGAGAAGAGAGAGAGTAAAATCAAAAACCTGCTTCCCCTCATCTTCCTGCTACACACAGAGCGAGGGGAGGAAGAGACAAACACCCAGAAGGTCCTGGAGAGAGGAATATTTGCCTCAGAGAATGTCTTCCCCCATCTCCCCACACCCTAAAACAAGACAGGGAAAACGAATCATCCAAACCGTAGCTCAGCTGAAGCTGAAAAAAACCCTCTCCTCATCAGGAGTGTCGGCATCACAGAGCTCACATGGTACCCCCAAAAAGTGCATTTTTAGAAAAAACAAAAAAAAAAAAAAAAAAAAAAAAAGATGAAGGTTGGGGAGATGAGGGCAGAGGAAGCGAGTGGGAGGCTGCCCGGGAAGGGCTGGATTTCCTGGGAAGGGCTGGATTTCCTGGGAAAAGGGTTAATTTCCCCGGAAAGCATTCTGTGCAGCTGAGGAGGCCACCCCAGCTGCTGCATTCTGGAAGCTCCTGTTGGTGAGGATGCCTTGGGAAAACTCCTCCTGGGCCCTTTGGAAGCTGGCTCCTGTGCGCCGATACAGGGAATGCACCTGGCAACGAGAGGAGAGGGAGCGGGTGAGGGGAATCAGAGTGTGACTATGGGATTGCTGCACACTCCTTGCTTTTCCTCGCCTAAGCAGCTCCCTTGACAGCTGGAGAGCATGAGCTGCAGCCAGTGGCTCCATGGCTCCCAGCATGGGATGCTGCAAATTTCAGGAAAAGAATCCTTCATTTGCTGAAGAATTTGAAGGTCTCGGCAAAATTGCTGGTTTCAGACCCAAAACTCCCCCCACTGTGGTGGCTCAGACTTCCCCCAGTATTTTACTGGAGGGCAAGGCCTGAAGGTGCCAACAGCATCAGGTATTTCCTTCAAGATAAATGCAGGAGAAAAGGAGGAAGTACCAATAAAAACAGGATCAGTCCAGCCTGTCCTTGCCTTCCCCCAAGCTCCATTTCTGCTGTTCCTGCAGAAATCCAGCCCTGCTGTTGTCAGGCAGCAGGAGGGAGGAGGGTTGGGTTTAGGAACCAGTGGGAAGGCACTCATTGGGATCCCAGCAGGCTTTGAAAAGGCCCCCAACGCTGTGGGAGCAGTGACTGAAAATTCCTGCATGCTGAACAGAGCCACGGCCACCTCTGCTCTGCCAGCTCCAAGCAGGACAAGGGGCAATGGTTTTAAACTGCCAGAGGGCACAGTTAGATGGGATATCAGGAAAAAAATCCTTCCCTGTGACGGTGGGGAGGCCCTGGCACAGGGTGCCCAGAGAAGCTGGATCCCTGGAAATGTTCCAGACCAGGTTGGACACTGGGGCTTGGAGCAACCTGGGATAGTGGAAAGCGTCCCTGCCCTTGGCAGGGGGTAAGATGAGCTCTAAGGTCCCTTCCCAAATCGTTTCACGATTCTGTGACTCCAAAGGGAGGCTACTTCCCACTTCAAGAGTACCCAAAAAATTTGGCATCGGTGCAGGAAGCACAAACAAAACCACTTTAATTAAAACCTCTCATCCCACCAGCGCCCCGATCCCATGATCATCCCCAGCCGGGTGAAGGGAGGTGTCAAACCCAGCACCCCTGGGAGCAGCCTGAGCTCTGCCAGCCCCCGAGGCACTCACCTGCTTGAGGAGGAAGAGGGAGAGGACGGCGCAGAGCGTGAAGAAGGCTGCCACCACCATCATGATCACGGCCACAGCCACGTTCTCGTGCACCTCCGACAGCGCCGCGATCCAGCCGCTGCCAGGGAGAGGAGAGGAGGGTGAGCACGGGCAGCATTCCAGCACAACTGGAGCTCAGGAGGCACAGGGCACACACACACAGGCTTCAGGGAAAGGTTACAGGGCACTACAAAACCAAACAGCTGTGGAAACAGCAGCCTGGAGCTGATCCAGGCCCTTGTTTTGAGGATAGAGTTTCCATTAGCATTTCTAGAGGAGGATTGTGCTCATGCCACTCACATTCCAGCCCTGTGCCCTCCCCTCAGGCAGCAAAATCAATACTCTCGGCGCCAACGGTGACTTCCATGGGCACCTTCTCAAAATTCAGCTAAGTGGGGTAAAGATAGGCTGGAGCAGCTAAATTGGAAGAGATCGGCTGGCAGGTCTGGAGCCCGGATCTGAGTGTCACCCTGACAGGGATGTAAGCGTCAGGAGTGGGAGGAAGAGGCAGGAAGGGATGGAGGTGGTGAAACCCTGGCACACGGTGGCTGCTCCATCCCTGGAAGTGTCCCAGGCCAGGTTGGACGGGGACTGGAGCAACACAAGACAGTGGAATGAGAGGAGCCTTAAGGTCCCTTCCAACCCAAACCATTCTGTGACTCCACAATTCTAAGTTACAGACACTGGGAGTTGTTAGAGGGAAGGGGCAGGGAGAATTCAAGGAGTTACCAACACTTGCCTGTGGCTGAGAATACCAAGACACCTCACTCAGAACACCTTCCTGGGTGCAGGAGAAGGGAACCTTTCCAACTGCTCAACTCAACCGTGTGCCAGCAGGAGGGAGGAGGGAGTGGGACCCATCCCATGTGCAGCACAGGGAAGCAGAAAGCGCTGCAGCCGAAAATATCCATGCTGTCTGGCAGGAGGAAACGGAGCAGAAAGCTCCAGGCAGCCTCTCCAAGCCAGACTAAACCCCCTCCCTGTCCCCTGTGACTCAGGGAGGCCGGGGACAGCTCTGCCCATGAGCCCTTATGCAGAAAATAGCAGCTCCCACTGGAGGCTTCCCCTGGGGAGCAGCACCACGGGCTGCTAACCTTTTCCCTGTGCTCCATAATTCCGGAATGGGAGCTGCAGCCGAGGCAGCAAGGCGAAAGGAAAGGCTGTGCTCTCCCTGCAGGGCACAGCTGCTGACAGGAGGCTGCTGGACCCACTCCAGAAGCCCAGGCTCACCCTTCTGGACAATGTCACTGAGAAAGGGCGAGGCTAAAAGCCTCTCTGCTTATCTCAGCCCCCAACCACATGCTCCAGAGAGATTCAGGAAGAGTTTGGGCATGGAGGCAGCAGTATCAGGCTGAGCAGTAGCCAGATTTCAGGTCAGAGATCCCTCAGCCCCACACTGCTTTCAGGGAAGGCTCCAGTTTGAACAAGGCAGATTTGGTTCACACCACAGGAGCAAACATGATCTGTACTGAGGGAGAAGACAGCAGAAGAGGCATGGAAGAGCTCTCACAGAATGGTTTGGGTCGGAATGGGCCTCAAAACTCATCACATTCCACTCTCCTGACATGGGCAGGGACACCTTCCACTGTCCCAGGGTGCTCCAAGCCCCAGTGTCCAACCTGGCCTTGGACACTCCCAGGTATCCAGGGGCAGCCACAGCTGTGCCAGGGCCTCAGCACCCCCACAGAGAAGGACTTCTGTCCCATATCCAGTAATTCACATACCCCCCTTCTCATACTCCTTCACATGCCGGGATTAGGATGGGAAGAGCAGAGGAGGGAGGCAGCCCAGCTGGGACCTCAGCGTGGGCTGAGAGAGGAAAACCACAGCAGGAAGAAGAGGCAGCTGTCAGAACCAGGCCCCAGAGCTCCTGCCAGCCACAGCCCTGGTGAGAAAAGGGATCAGCAGTACAGCCAAGCCTACCTGTCTCCCCAGCCAGGAATTCCAACAGCCTGGATGACATAGATTGCTATTTGGCAGAAGAAGATGAAAAAGAAGACGAAGAAGCTGAAGGAGCTGTCAGACCTGCGGGAGAGATGGCAACAGGAGTGAAAATCATGATCTTCACACTGAGTCCCTGCTCTGAGAGGAGAGGAACAGCTTCAGTGAACTCCTTTTTCCAGGGAAGAGCTGCTGAGGGGAGGTGATGTGGGCAGGAATTTGGGCGCCCTGATGTGTCCACTGCAAATCCAGTGCCCAGCACAAGATGGGGTGAAGGCAGCTCCCTCAACAAATGCAGCATGCTTGACATCAGTGTACCAAAGAGCATCTCAGAAATTATTAAAGTGAATAAAACATGAATTAAAAGTGCCCTATGTCTGCCTAGGCTTGGATTTCAGGGTGAAAAAGGATCATCATAATTAAGTTCTATCAGACAGATCTAATATGTTTAGTAACACAGTGGTTTGGGTTTATCTAATGATGCAAAGAGCTGGAAAAATCCTGGGGGCAAAACACGATGGGAACAGATAAACCCAAAGCTCCTCCCACTAAGAGATACATCCTCGTTACAGAAAAAAAAAAAATTAAAAAACCAGTACTTGCCTGAAAGCCTTGTAAATTGGTCGGTACCAACAGAGAAAGGCACAAGGGGTGAATAAAATTAACCACAGAATGGAGAGACCAAAGTCCACTCCTCTGCTGCTGTTGACTGTGAACCACGCCAGGCAAGCGAGCAGGTTCAGGAGCAGGGTGATGGAATGCACTGGTTGGGGTGGGAGAGAGAGAAAAACAACATCAGCAAGCTCTTGGAAACTCCAAAGCATCCCTAATGTCTCACTGAACACATGGAGAGCTGCAGAAATTAAGGTGACTTTGGGCCATCTAATTTCCCTTCCTCCTTTGGAAGGGAAACAGAGCTATACCTAAGAAGCTCCTCTGATCCTGCTGCTCACAGCCAAATCTTAAATAGTTGTTTAAGCCTCCATTAAACAATTAAAATTCTGTCATAAATGAGCTATTCCCAAAGCATAAACTTGGAGTTCTTCACATTTACCTTCATAAGAGGGGAGGGAAATGTGATTTTACCCTTGCAGACAACACCAACAGCATTAACAGTGTGACAGAGCTCAGTGTGACAGACCCTCCCCAAAAAGAATTCTGACTGCAGTTCAAGCTGTTACTTACACATCCACAAGTAATAGAGCATCTTGCATATCCTCTGGTAGTCAGCTGGGATGTCTGCAGAAAAATCCTGGTAGAAGCATGGCTTGATGGGACACTTCTTGGGGAGAGGTGGCCAGTTGTTCTGCCTCGCTGTGCAAGGGAGGAAGGAGCAGCTCTTCACTTGCTCTTGTCTCATTCAAACACTGATTCCCACCCCAGAATTTCCAAGCAGCCGTTCAGCTATTGTTTAATTCACACATTAAAACCTTGGCAGAGCTCAAGGGTTGGGCAGGTCCTACATCTGGGCAGGCAGCACAGCAGGAATGGGATAAACTGCTGGCAGGGCAGCTGTGTACAGTGGTTTTCCCTTGAGGGAGGCAGAATTCCCCTGTATTGGCCAAAGGGCCATCCCAGCCACCATCACTCAGCCCTGCAAGCCCAGATTCAGCCACTTCAAACCAAGATTAGGAGGAAAAATATTGGGTTGGGAGAGCCTCGAGGCTGAGAAGAAGAGCTTTGCTGCTCTCAGTGTCACTCACCAGCTCTGGCACGGGTACAGATCGGTGCCTGAGAGCTTCTGGTGGTGAAATGCAGCTGCTTGAGGGCAGAGCTGGCCCCAACATCCCACCTCTGAGCTGCCTTCCCATTTTGGAAGCTGTGGGATGCCAAGCACTGTCCCAGAAGGGTTGCCACAGGAATTTTCCTGAAATCCTGGCAAACCCAAGGCTGCCCTGGGCAGGTGTCAGTACTCACGGTCGATGCTGGCTGCGTGGCTCTGCAGTTCCCTTTCCTTCTTCTCCAGCTCAGCTGCCTTCCTCTCTAGCTCTGCCTGCTGCTGGAGCAGCCCTGCCTGTGCTGCTGCAGCCACAGCCTGGGGAGGGGACAGAGATCAGAGAGGTCAGCCCTGCCCTGGGCTGGGCCGTGGGGGCATCACCAGGAGCCAGGCTGGGAAGGAAGCAGGGCACAAGGTGACATGAAAGCTCAGACACTTTGATTCTGCCATTGGAGGACAAAATTAAGTTATCCTACAGGAACATAGGGCTGGGAGGAGGAGCTTACCCACAGCTTCTACCTCGATGTTTTCACCTCCCTGCTCTGAGCACCTCACAACAGAGTGGTGAGCAGGGCTCCTGGGCTTACCAGGACAATTCCCTTCCCAGCTGCCTACCACACCTCTTAATGCCCTCTTCCACCTGTTTTGTATTCTGAGAAATGATTCCTTCTCCCAGCAGCCTCACTTCTTTGGATGAGGTTGTCCTGGCAGTTGGGTACTTGCAATTATTCTCTTGGCATGTCTGACGAGACACCAGAACTAAGCTAAAAGCATTAGCAGGATACAATCTGAGACTTCCAGGGGGAAGCCAGAGCCAACAGGACATGAGACAAAGCAAGCTCTGCCACCGGAGGGACAGGGAAAGAGATATAAGGAGGACTGTACGTGTGTATTCCCTATAAAGATCTGCCTTGGAAATGCAAGCCCAAAAGATCACCTGCAGCTTCCCAGTCACCACCCCAGGGAATCCTGTGCTCCCAGAGGCCCTGGGAGCTCGAGGAGGCTGGCAGGGCAGCAGAGAGGGGCTGTACCTGTGGTGTGGGCTCCACAGATGTCTGCAGCACGGCCGGCTGCGAGTGGCCCGAGGGCTGCACCACCGGCGTCGTCCGCGCCGCATTCGTCTGCAAGAAATCACAGGGAAAAACGTGGCAGGAGAAACACAACAGGCTCCTGGTGAATGGTTTAAATTCAAAATCTCCCTTTCCTGCCCTCCTTCTCCCACCTGGCTCATGGCAGCAGCCAAGGAATAAGGATGAGGCTCTGCCAGCCATCCCTCAGTGGCACCGCCAGGGCAGCTCGGCTCCCAGCCCAGGGAGCAAAGAAATCCTGCTGTGTCCTGCCACAAAGCATCTTCCCCTCCACACTCCATGGGGCTTCCCTGGGGTCAGCAGCCAGCTGGAGAGGAGCTGTTCCATGATGTGAGTGGAGAGCTCCAGCTGGGAGCTTATTACAGCTCCAGTGCAGGAGCAACTGCCCACTCCTGCACACCATGAGCCACATCCATGCGGAAATCAGCTGGGAACTCCTCTTGTTTTTTGAGCTGCACCTATCAAGGGACCTTCTACACCACTAAAAGTGACACCAGGTCCACAGAGCACAAAGACATGTGGCACATACCAGCTGGGAGCTCTCAGAGAAGGGGTTGAATTCATCCAAGCCACTCTGGCTGGTGTTTGTGAGCTGTGTCACCGAGGGGTCCTGGAGGGAGAGAGCACAGGGGTAAATCAGCATTGGATATGGGGCATCATCACTGATTTCAGTTTGGAAAAAGCCTTTAAGAACATCAGGTCCATCTTATCCATGCTGCCTGCTTTCCATCTGCTTGTTAGCTGGGAATTTCAGGGGGTGAAACACATCCCTGCCACAGGGAGATGGCCCTGGCTGGCATGGAATTTAAATATCCAAGGAGGTGACCACCAGCAAGGCAAGACTTGTGAACAGAAATAATCTCCTGTTCAGCCAAGAGGGATGTCTGAACAACCACAACGTGCTTTTGGCACAGGAATACTTTGTGCAAGCTACTTCTGCTCACCTACAGAGAGTTATTCCTAATTTCCAGGGATTTGGACTCATCCAGCCGTGGTCAGGATGTTGTTGGGCCCCACAGAGCGAGCATGGAGCCACACAAAATGAGGTTCTAGACACAGCTGGTCCTGGCTGAGACATGCCAGCAAGCTAAAATGCCACTGACTGCTCTGCATAAGTGAAACACTCAGGAAAATTGAGCTGGAGGTGTGACACCAATTATTTTAGGAGGTTTTAATGCTGCTGGCATAACAGCTCTTACTTCCACTCACAGCACCTCCCACTCGTCTCCATCAAATCCTCTGATGTTTAAAAACAAGCTCTCTGCACCTCAGCACACCTCTCTCCCCTCACCTGCAATGCACACAGCTGTTTTTATCTCCTCTTTTCTACCCACTCCTATCCGTGCAGAGATTCCTCTTGGGCAGCCAGATGTTGCCCTCTGGAGCACTCCTCAGTTATTCCCAAAACAGAAAAGTTCCCTTTTTGAACTCGGAAATCCTCCTGCCTCTCAACCTGAGAGTCAGGTGTGGGAAAATTAAATTAGAAAATTAAAAAGTGGCTTCTTCTCCTTCTCTCAGCACCTCGTGTGTCCAGACCAGCCTAATTTGGTGCTTCATGGGGTGAGAAGGAAGCGAGGCTGTGCCGGGGCGTGCAGGGCTGAGGGAGCCAGGGCATGGAGGAAAATCCCTCAGGAGCCATTCCCGGGGTTCTAGCGCAGCCTTCTGCCGAGCAGGATCCTCATGGAGCAGTTAATGAGTAACTGCACAGCTCCTGCATGGCAGGCACTCCCCACCAACAGGTCGCACTCGTTTGTGAATCACCCCGGGCTGAGCCATCGCGGATTCTCCGATGCTGCTCGGGAAAGTTCAACTCCCCAGCGAGGAAAGGCTGCAAAAAGTGTGAAGAAGCAGCAGGACTGCCGTGCTGGAGATAAAACATGCTTTTATTTCACTCCTGACTCCTCTGGAAGCTTCATCTGTGCAGAGATAAGGGCTGTCAGCAAAAGTTCACACTTCCCCTCACACGATTACTGCTGCACATCAGCACAAACCCTTTAGTCTGGAGCATATGAGCCCCAGCTGGACTAAAGTCCAGCAGAAAACAACTGCACCAGGAAGAGAAACTCCCTTCAAGATGTGGGAAGTGGAAAGTGAAAGCTGCACAATCCTTTGGAGAGCCTGGGTGGTCAGGCTGGGAATAAGGAGAAATGCTACAGTACCACCATAAAACACACGTTTGACTTCCCCTGGCTCATCTGCACTCAAAAGAAAGCTGGAGGCTCTCCACAGGCAGGGAGAGCAGCACCACGGTTTCAGTTGCACCAGTTTGATTCCCAAGGTAGACAAGATCTCATCTTACTGCACAGCTCTAAAAAAAAAATCACTTAATTAGGCCGTAAGGCCCAGACCCAGCAGCTCTGCTTAACTCGCCTGCTATTGTGCAAGCGTGTCTAAAACAGGAACCCAAAGAGCAGGGAATTTGCAACAAAGCTGAAGTGTTTGGACACGTGCCTGGGCAGGGCAGGAAGGAAAGCAGAGGGTGATACACTGGCAGCAGCTTCTGTGAGCCCAGAGCAAGCAGTGAGGGATGAGCGAGCACCAGGCACGCAGGGATCAGCGAGGAGCTGCCCACAAACTTCTTGTTTTCCTGTTATTTTCTGCCAGCTACACAGCAAAGGGCAGCCGAGCCTCTTGAAACAAACCTTGGAAAGAATCGGGGATTTAATTCAGAACCACTTGGGGCCACAATAAGTGTGCTCAGACACAAAGCTCACAAATCAACGACGGGCTCGACCTGCGGGATGCCATGAGCAGATCCCCTTTGTTGCCCTTCCAACCATCACTTCCTCAAGTTGCAGGGACGTGTGATGTTGTTTTTCATGGCTTCAGATGCCTCCACATCTCGACCAAATTACCCTGCCACAAATTTTAAAACTATTTTCAAACGCAGCTTGATGAAAATACAAAGTTGCTGTCGCGCTGCTGGAAGGTTTGGATACAACAGGTTTGTGTGAGGAATTCTATTTTTCTTTTCTTTCTTTTCCCACAGATTAAAAAAACAAAACGAGAGACGTCTCTAGATGAGATCAAGGAAAAAGAGCTCAACCTAGAATCACCTGGAACTTAACACAGTTGTCAAAATATCAGAGTATTGCCCCAGATATAACCAGTCCTGCAGACTCAGAGTGCTGCCACTGCCTGGAATATGCACTGAGAGAAATCCGGAGGATTTTATTATTGATATCTCCGGAGAGGATGGAAGTTTCCAGCTCTGTCTGAAGCTTGAATCAAAGTTTTGGAGGCAGCTGCCACTTCCAGCAGGTTACTAGATAAAGGAAGGAAGTTAATCATCTCTCATTAACTGGTTACAATAAGTAACAGAGCAGCCAGAGATATTTTTAACAGGACCAAAGCAGCTTATTTTACACACAGCTTAACAAACATCATGAACAAAGTCTCCTGAAAAGGCAGAGATCCTGGTCACGTCAGGATTCGAGGAGAATGAAGCGCTGAACTGGGAGCTCCAGCAAGCAGGGACAACCCTGGTGCTGCGGCAAGAGAGATCCACGGGCTGGGAGGGTGAGGAGGCTTCTGCTCCTTCCCCAGCATGTGAAAGGTGGTGTCAGTGGGACACTGTCACCCCAGCACAGAGCCACCACCTGGATCCAGCCCCTGGCAGGGAACAGGCTGTCACACAGGCTGGGATTCCATTTCAAACCAGACCAACGAGGCTTCGAGCTTCCAGGAAGCAGCAGTCAAAAATTCCTCTCAGCCAGCTGCTGGGGACTGAGGAATTTTTCTTGAGAAAAAAAAAAAAAAAAGGTAAGACAAAAACTTGCAGTCCTGAGAGAAGGATACAGAACCTCCCACAAGGACCAGATGAGCTGCAAAGAGCTGTCACAGGGAAATCCAAGGTGGGATATGTGTTAATCCTCGTTAAGAAGTGAGCCTGACGTGGGAGTTACTGGCTGGAAATCACCTTCAACCTTTTTTTGTTTGTACAGTGAATAAAGGGTGAGCACGGCCCTGTTCTGTCAGATTACCAGGAGAACTTTGATGTGCACAAAGCAGCTGAAGGGCAATGACAAGAAAGATGGAGACTGACTTTTTTAGAGTGAAGGGACAACAGAGAATGGCTTCAAACTGACAGAGATTAGACTGGATATTAGGAGATTCTTCCCTGTGAGGGTGGAGAGGCCCTGGCACAGGGTGCCCAGAGCAGCTGTGGCTGCCCCTGGATCTCTGGCAGTGTCCAAGGCCAGGTTGGACATTGGGGCTTGGAGCCACCTGGGACAGTGGAAGGTGTCCCTGCCATGGCAGGGGGTGGAACTCGATGAGCTTTAATTTCCCTTCCAACCCGAACTGCTCTGTGATTCTAGGAATATTTACTTCCTCAGAGCCGAAGCAACAAATCCCATGTCCATGAACAGCAATATATTCCACTCCCTGGAAGCAATATCAGAGGAACACAATTGTCCCAACTCTTCCCATTCCTGAGAGTCACAAGACCATGTTAAAATGAAAGTGAGGAAGAAGAGAAAGAATTTTTTTCACTCCGATTCCTCAAAAGACTCAGCTTCATCAACAAACAACTTCTGTTTGGCTCAGCCCCGAAATCCAAGGTCAGGAAAACACTCCTTCCTGTGGGTCACATCCCAGCCAAGCAGGGGAGCTGAGGCTGAGCTCTCAGACCAGAGCCAAAGGCCAGACACTGATTTGCACACCAGAGGCTGTTCCAGGCCAACTCCTCGCATAAATGACCCCAGTTTTCAGAGGTTAATCCCAGAGAGGAGAAACTCAGCGAACAGAGACCAAGTCCTCAGTGACCTTAACAGGAATCCTCTGCTTTGAGCCACGAAATCCACAGTTTTGCCTTGGGAACTCACTCTTAAGCGCTGAAGCGCCTTAAAAACAGACCCAGAGAGACGCAGCGGACAACCAGACCACCACGCAGGACAGCTCCAGGGATGGATTATTTTTAATAAGACCTCAGGATGGGCATTCCCAGCGGTTGTGCATCCCGAGAGGAAGCAAAGTGTCTGGCGAGGTGAGGGAGGGGAGGCTGTGCTGGGCAGCGAGGGCAGTGGGACAGGAGCCTGCTCCGGGGACAGAGCGGGAGGGACCCAGGGGGGTCATAGCGCTCGGAGGTGACCTGCGGGAGGGGGACGCGGACGGGACACAGGACCCCCGCCCCCGTACCGGGATCGGGATACACAGAAAGGAGATGAGGCTTTGAGCCCCGGCCAGGCGGGGATGCAGGGAGGGCGAGCGGGACCCCTGGTGCTGTTTCGGGCAGGGGGGCCCGGCCGCCCTCAGGGCCGGGGGTCGCGGCCGCCTCACGCCCCCCGGTCCCGCCCTCTCCCTCTGATTGGTCGAGGCGCGGAGGAGCGGCTCCGCCATTGGCCGGCGGCGCTTCACTCAGTGCCACGTCCCGGCGTGCGGGGCACGGGGGCCCGGCCGGGCCGGGCCGCGCCAGGGGGGAGCCGCCCGCGCTCAGCGCCCACCTGGAAGGGGTTGATGTCCACCGGGTCGGCGAACGGGTTGGTGTCGAAGCCCGACATGGGCGCGGTCCGCTCCTGCTCCGCTCCCGCCGCCGCCGCTCCTGGCGCTTCCGGGGCACCCGCGTGACCGGGAGCCGCGTGACGTCACGGCGGCGCGTACAGCTCGCGCGGGGTTAACCCGATGGGCGTGGCCGCGTGACGTCACAGCGGCGCTTATAGACGGCGGGGGGGTGTGGGGGGAGGGGGGAAGGGAAGGGAAGGGAAAGGGGGGGCAGCAGGCCCTGCCCGGCCGAGCCATGGCGGAGATCCGGGGTGAGCGGGGCACGGGGCACCCACCGGGGCCGCGGGGACGGGGACCCCCCCCCCACCGGGACCCCTCCAGGGCGACGGGGTGGAGGGCCCGTGACTCGTGTCCCCAGCCCGAGCACCCCCAAATCGCCGGGTGATGGTTGAAAATCGTCCCCCCAGACAGTGTCTCCTCCCAAGCCCCCGGTGCTCTCCCTCCCTGACACCCTGTCCCCCTGCCCCGGGGGCTTTGTGAGTGGCCGGAAGGATTTTAGGGGGTTCTTTCTGTGCCCCTCTAACACTTGGCTTCTCTCCCGCAGTGTTCCCCCTCTCCTGCGTGGTGCAGAACTATTCCTGGGGGAAGGTGGGCCTGGAGAGCGAGGTGGCCAAGCTGGTGGCCAGCGGTGACCCCCTGGTGCAGATCCAGCCTGACCAGCCCTACGCCGAGGTGAGTGTGCCTATACGTCCATTCTGTCCGTGTCTCCGTCCCGTCTGTGTGTCCATCCGCGTGTTCATCCCACCCTGCGGCTGTGGCTCTCACCATCCTGTGTCCTACCAGGACGTGATGCTGACCCCCAGCTGTCCCATGTCCCCTAGGGAGGGGGAACGTGGAACTTGGAGGGAAGCCCGGTGTGACTCAGCCCCCGAGGGAGCTGCCAGGGATCACCTCTGGGGCCGGGCAGCCTCTGGAAAAGCCCAAGTCATCCGTGCTGGCTGCCCGGCTCAGAGTGTTGCTGTGTGTTGGTGTCTCACAGCTATGGATGGGCGCACACCCCCGGGGCGATGCCCTCATCCGGGATAACCGCATCCCCCAAAAAACCCTGGGCCAATGGATCGCCGACAACCCCGCCTGCCTGGGGGCCAAGGTGAAGGACACCTTCCAGGGACAGCTGCCCTTCCTGTTCAAGGTGCTGTCGGTCAACACTGCCCTGTCCGTCCAGGCGCACCCCAACAAGGTAGGGAGACCCCCGGATGGGCAGCCCAGCCCGACGCCGTGTCCCTGCAGAGGTCACCCAGCTCCTCTCCCCTCTCTGCAGGAGCTGGCGGCGAAGCTCCACGCCCAGTTCCCTGAGCACTATCCCGATGCCAACCACAAACCCGAAATGGCCATCGCCCTCACCCCCTTCGAGGGCATGTGTGGCTTCCGGCCCGTGGAGGAGATTGTCTCCTTCCTCCAGAGTAAGGATGGAGGGTGCATGGTCACACCCTGGGGTGGGGACGGTGGCCGTGCTCCCTTGGGATGGGCTTTGGGGTGGGGATGAGGGCTCTGCTCTCTTGGGATGGAGTTCAGGCTGGGGACGGTGCTCCCCAGGGATGGGATTTGGTGTGGGGATGGTGACTGTGCCCCTCTGGGCTGGGGGTGCTGGTACTGCCTGGGGCTGTTCTCCCCTGGGCTGGAGGACTGGCTCTGACTTGGGCTGGCCCCACAGATGTCCCTGAGCTTCGGGCACTGATCGGGGAGGTGGCAGCAGAGCAGCTGGAGCGCAGTGGGAGCGACGATCCCCGCGGGGTCTCGGCCGCCCTCCGCGTGTGCTTCACCCGCCTCATGAAGAGCGAGAAGAAGTTCTTCGTGGACCAGCTGAACATGCTAGTGAAGAGGATCTCCCAGGAAGGTGGGTTCTGGCTGTGACACCCCAAACCAGTTCGGGGGGCTGTGTTTAGGGGAGAGGCTGTGGCAGCCCCAGCTCTCTCCCCATGCTGGGTCTGTCTCGTCCTGTGCAGCGGCAGAAGGGAAGGACACGTCAGGGAGCAATGGGGACCTGCTGCTTCGGCTGCACTCCCAGTACCCCGGGGACATCGGCTGCTTCACCATTTATTTCCTGAACCTGGTGAGGCTGGAGCCAGGGGAGGCCTTGTTCCTGGGAGCCAACGAGCCCCACGCCTACCTGCACGGAGGTGAGCGTTGGGAGGGCTCTCCTGTACCCCAGCATCCTGCAAGGACTGGCCGTGGGGACAGGAGGAAGGGCTGGGTTGGGCTGACAGCGCTGCCCTGTCCCTGCAGACTGTGTGGAGATCATGGCGTGCTCAGATAACACGGTGCGTGCTGGGCTCACCCCCAAGTTCATCGATGTGCTCACCCTGTGTGAGATGCTCAACTACACACCAGCACCCAGCAGCTCCAAGATCTTCCCAGCAGCACAGAGCCAGCTCGATCCCCACGTCTACCTCTATGACCCACCCGTGCCAGACTTTACCATCATGAGGATAGAGGTGAGCAATGACAGATCCGTGTTGGGGACACCAGGTGGGACACCTCAGCACTGGCTGGGGCTCACTCACCTTTGTAATCAGTGTCCTGGCAAGGAGGGAGGGATGCTTGGACATAATGGGGTGCTGGTCTCTTTATCCCTTCCCTGTTCCCTCTGCCTGGAGCTTGTTCACCTTCTCCAGCAGCTCTGGGCAGAGGGAGAACCAGGAAGAGGTCCCCAGGCTTGGGCTGCTGCAGGCACAGCAAAGGGGTGGGAATGGGGACAACCCCCTTCCACTGAGGGAGACTCCAGCCAGAGTGACATTTCCCTTGGCAGATCCCTGCCTCCATCAAGCTGTACCTCATCTCTGCCATGGACTCTGCCAGCATCTTGCTGGTGATCCAAGGGACAGCCGTGGGCACCTCCACAGCCGCAGCCTCCGAGATGTCCCTGCAGCGTGGCTCCGTGCTCTTCATCTCTGCCAACGAGAGCATCTCCCTCCACCTCTCCTCACCTGATGGGATGCTGCTCTTCCGAGCCTGCTGCCTCCTCTGAGCAGGGCCTGGGACACTTCCTCCACAACACTCCGTGTTTGAGTAGATAGAAACTGGTGTGGGCAAAGTCTTCTCGCTTGAAAGTTTTCCCTCCAGCTATTAAATCCCAAAACCAGCCCTGATGTATAGAAAGAGCAATTCCGTGGACCGACTCCTTGGATGTGGCTGAGGCTTTCTGCTGCTTCTGGTGGGCTCTTCCCGAGCTTGGCTGATGGCAGCCAGTGTCACCCTTCCCTGGCTGTGAAAGGTGGCTGCATGGGAGGGTGATGGAGCAGAGCTGCTGTGAATAAAAAGGTGACTTTGTCCGTGGTGGAGGGAGCAGGAGGATGGAAGGGGCCAGAGAGGCTGGGAGCAGTGCCAGCATCCCCCCAACACTGGCTGTGACACCTCCCCCCTATTCCTCATGCACAGGAAAGGAGCAAAATGTGATGAGGGAAAACAGGAGTCCCCCTCACAGCAGCAGCACCCATTCTGAGTAATGAGATCCAGTTTATTGAGTGCTCCCTTTTACAAGTAAAATACAAAAACAAACAAACATGCCCCCCACCCAACCAGTTCATGTCTCTTGACATGAAATATTTAAATAATATTTCTGTATAAGAAGCTGATTGTCCTCTATGTCATAGAGCAGGACCATGGTTTAAGGCAGCGTTTATGGTTTGCAGCAGGGAGGCTCTCCAGCCCCCCAAATCCAAGCCCTGTGCAGAGCTGGGATGGGGGCCCTAGGCTGTGCCTCACCTGCATCAAAGCAGCGTTGAGGAGAATTGGGAAAAAGCCATTAGCTCCAACCCCAGAAACTCCCAAATCCTTCCCTTTATTCCCCTGTGGAGGTGCCAGGCTCTGCCTGTCCTCCCTTCCCAACCCAGCCAAGTGCCAGCTCCCATCCAGGCCACCAACATGTCACTGTGCCACCGCCCGCTGATATTGCTGAGTGTAAGGAGAAGTCTTTTGGGGTCAGTTGGTCTCTGCCATGAGCAGCATCGTTCAGTCCTTGTGTCACCATCCTGGCGTGGGACCTGGACACCCACCAGCCATCCCACGGGACAAAAAAAGTGCTGAATTTTGACCTGTTCTTGTGCAGCTACTGGATCACACAGGAGAGATTTTCTCCAAAACAACAGGGGCAAGAAGAGGAGGCAGCAGGTTTTGGGGGGATGAGATCCAGGTCTTCATCATCGGGGACCTCATCGAGGTGGTACCCGTCCTGCAGCAGCTGCCGGCTCAGGTCCTGGGTCACCTGCTGCAGGGGGACAAAGCGAGGCTCTGCGGGATGGACACACAGCCACGCTCTGTGGGGTGATGCTTCCAGCCCCCAGGCAGAGCCTCCAGGGGTCAGGGGAATGGGGAAGCCCGTGGGGACCCCACAGTGCCAGAGTCAAAGCCCCACACTTGCCTCGGCAGAGGAGTATCCTGAGGAACACCTGGATCCTGGCTCCCCGTCACTAAGGGGAAAAAGAAACAGAGCTGGCCAGGAAATGGGGTCTTTAGGATGTAGATAAGGGGAATTTGGGGGGGAAAAGGAGCTGGCAGTGCAACCCCAAGGGATGTTTGAAATCTGGCACAACAGGAGCGTTTCGCTGCTCTGAGGTGCCCAGTGCCATCAGGGATCTTCTACAAGTGACAAGGAAAATCAACCCCCCAAAAAAGCCATCTGGGAGCACCCCCCACCAAAATTGGGGGATATTTTCCCAAAATCCTGGGATACTCACCTGTCTGAGTCGAGGGAGACCAGGTTTTCATCAGCTGTCTGGCTGAGCGCTGTGTAGCCCTTGTTGAACTTCACAGACCTGCCAGTAAACAGAGGAGTGAGACCAGCAACAGATATTTCATGTGAAAACACATCCATGGAGCTGACAGGCTGAGGAGCCAGGGCAGGAACCCCACTCCTTCCCACCCAGGCACTGTCCAGGGCCATCACCTGCTAAACCCCAGGATACCCAAACAAACCCATACCACCAAATCATCCCCGAAATAAAGAGAAAAGCAGTCTAATTTATTATACTGGATGTCCCTGGCCAAACAGAGCCAGCAGAATAAGGTCCCAAACTCTCATTTTGAATCCTCTGAGTTTCCCAGTCTCCCCAAGAAAAGTGAAAAATACATTTTGAAAATAGGAAGAGGGGATCAGACCTTTTAGGAGTCGGTTTCAGGGCAGTGGGTGCCCCCAGCAGCCCCTGCCTTCGCAGCGCTGCCTTTGCCAGCTCCCGCTGCCTCTCTGAAAGCCAAGCACAGGGACACAGAGGAGAATTCCCAAGTGCTCCCAAAGAAAAAAAAAAATCCCAAAGGGTTTCTTCTTTTGGGGAATGAGTGAAGAGGGTGTTGCAGGTGAGTGTGGGTGCAGTGCAGTGCTTTCCAAAGGCATCTCTAGGGGTTTTATAAAGGTTTTATCCCACCAAGAAATAAAAGGGCTTTTGGTAACTCCAGCTCTCTGGGAGAGAGGTGGAAATGATGCCCAAAATCCCGGCAGAGTCCACCAAGCATCACTTACTCAGCTTGGCCTGAATGGAGGGAGGTTTGCTCATGATGTATGGACCCCTTTTCTCCACCACGTCTGTCCCTTTGTTCAGCCTCTTCTTTTCAGCCCAAATCAGCTAAAAAAAGAGTGGAAGAAGCATTTAGCATCTCTCCATGGGCATGAAGTAAAGCAGAGTCACCTCAGAGCATCCAATCATTCCTGGGAGCTCAAGGTCAGCAGGGAAATCTGTCCCCAGGGTGGCTGGGGAGGGACAGCTCCTCCTCTCCAGCCCAGGAGGAGGGAGAGGAAAAGGAATCAGCAGATAGGTTATCAGACAAAAAGATTATTTGGGAATGGTAATGCTAAATAAAAGCACAGGAAGTCACCATCAGTTCCTGTGCAAGCCTGGCTGCAGTAATACTTGGGGAAAGGTGGTGGAGGAGATTTACTGAGAGGTTAATCAAACAAAAATTTAAAGACTGTACATTTAAATTTTGGAATTTGAGCCTTTCAAGTTTCTCCATTTATCCAGTTATTGTCAAGGAGAACCAATGCTTCTGAGGGCAAAGGGGAGGAAAAAACCTCCACAAACACAAGAAGTAATGAAGAAAATAGAGGGAAAATCAGAGAGAATTGGCACAGGAGGGACATGGAATTAAGAGAACAAGGCAGAGGACTTGGGATGGTAATTGGAGAGCACAGCCAGGATTAGCCTCAGTATCTTAAGCCAGAATTAGCAGGATAGAGCTTCCTCATGGGAATAACCAGGCAGGCAATGGCCCCTCAGATCCCTCTGGATATGCCATACCCTTCCTAGCGAGCTGATACACTTGTGTGTTTATATTTATACTTATATTTATAATTTTTTATATTTATACACTGTATACAGTACTGTGCCTCCATGTCTGCAACTCCAAAAGATGAACTCTCCCACTGTATTGCTCCTATACTGCCCCCCACACACCCCACACTGCCCCAAGGACATACCCCAGCCCCATAACCCCTGTGCACACACCCCACACTGCCCCAAGGACATACCCCAGCCCCATAACCCCTGTGCACACACCCCACACTGCCCCATGGACACACTCCAGCCCCATAACCCCTGTGCACACACCCCACACTGCCCCAAGGACATACCCCAGCCCCATAACCCCTGTGCACACACCCCACAGTGCCCCATGGACACACTCCAGCCCCATAACCCCTGTGCACACACCCCATAGTGCCCCATGGACATACTCCAGCCCCATAACCCCCGTGCACACACCCGATCCTACAATACCCCCAGCCCTATATTCCCCTATTCACGTACCCCACACTGCCCCATGGACACACTCCAGCCCCATAACCCCCGTGCACACACCTCAAACTGCCCCATGGACACCTCCCAGCACCATAACCCCTGTGCACACAATCCACACTGCCCTACAATACTCCCAGCCCTATACTCCCCCTGTTCTCGTACCCCACACTGCCCCACGCTCTCCTCAGCCCCATATCCCCCACGCAGATATCCCATACAGCCCCCTACCCACGATGCCCATACCCTACACAGCCCCGCATACCCCGCACCCCCAGCACGCCCGTACATCGCACGTACCCCCGGGCCCCGCCGGCCTCCGGCTCCGCTCGCAGCGGGACCGGGACCGGGACCGGGACTTGCTCCGGCTCCGCCGCCGCCCGTCGCCATGGCCGCCCCTGGCCCCGCCCCCTGACCCGCCCGCCAATGGCAGCGCGGGGCTGCCGCAGCTCAGCCAATGGGAAGCGGGCAAAGGGCGCGCCCCTCTGCCGCGCATGCGCGGCGGGACCGGACAGCGGGACCCAGACAGCGGGACCGGGACCGGACAGCGGGACCCGGACAGCGGGACCGGGACAGCGGGACCCGGACAGCGGGACCGGGACAGCGGGACCGGGACCGGACAGCGGGACCGGGACCGGACAGCGGGACGGGACTGTGACACACAAACAGCAGGGGGTCCTGCCCCACGCGGCTCTTGCCCTGAGCCTATTTTGCAGAAACAAATCCCTGTTTTCCCAGAAAATTCCCCTCTTCCAAGAGGAAAATAGCAACAGGATTAAGGTATTGCCCTTCTCCTCCCACCCAGTTTTGTTTTTTTTTTCTTTTTTCCTTTCCCCCACCCTTGCCTGGGCCAGAGCTGAGTGGAAAACAGTGACAGTATCTATGCCAGCGCAGATCCCCTTCACAGCGAGGATACAACCTTTGCAAACAGGAGTCTGACCCACGTCTGAGGCTTTGGACATCATTCCAGGGAAATGCCTTCTTCCCAGGCCTCCCCCAAGCTGTGCATACAGGAACCATGCTCTCCAAACAGCTCCTTCTCTTCCCCTCCCAGAGCCAGGTGCTTGGGAAGGCTCTGGACACGGGCCTTGCAGTGTAAGTAACCATTTACAAGCTGCTAAGAGCACATTTATTGTTTGTTCCTTCTTTTCCCTACAAAAGAAACAGGAAATAACCACACAAGGCACTGGAACCACATCAGTCAAACCAGTTTTTCCTTTATTAGGCCCAGTTCCACAGCATTTCCATTGTGACTCAATAAAGGAAGAAGTTATTTCAGGTCAGATTTAATGTTTGTCTCTCCAGGTGACCGTGTACAATCAGGTAACATCAGTAAAACACTTGAGTAATGCACCTGGAATAGAAAATAACAGGGGAAAAAAATTAAAGAAGCAACCTAAAATCTCCACAAAGTTTCCACGAGGTCCCAGATGAGTTATTTCCATCCCTTTTGCCTTCAAAGCCTTGTTTAACCACCCTCAGCTCAAAAATGCAGCCACTGCATTCCCAGCACAGCTGATTCAGGACCCCTGGTACCAAGACACTGTATCCCAGGACAAGGAGGAGGAAAAGGACTTGCAAGATCCAGAATCAAGCACTATTTGCAGTAGTCTGACACACAGTATCTCTATTCTAAGCATCATATTTAAAAAAAGAATATGACACTGGTCATCTGATGAAATTGAGTTAAGAGTTTCACTTCCAAAAGGATTTTTATTTAGGGCTTTATTTTAGTCTGTGATTAGAGCACATTAGGTCTTGCCTATGCTGTCTTTGCCAGGGAGGTTGGGGTACAGGAGTCCCATGCCAAGAGTCTGGGAAGCAACATCAAACCTTACCAACAAGGCTTATGCTTTGTCCAGGCCCAGTTCCTCTGGAGTGGAAATTCCAAGTTCACTCAAAGTTGGTCTAAGCTCCTGGATAACGTAAGGATAGATTTCCTTGTGGGGTCCTGCCTTGTCCTGAAAAAAAATCCCAAAAAACAAAGAATTGAGTTATTTCAATATGTCTCCAAAGCCTCCCACCTCAACCCTTGCTTGTGGCAGAGCAGAGCTCCTGGCCTCTAGGGCTGAAATAAAAGTCCTGGATTCAGGTTTCAAGGAGCTGGTTTCAGGTGTTTTCCACGACAGCTTTCTGAGTTACTTCTCTCAGTCCCTCAAAACCAGGAAGCTTCGTGCTCATCACCGATTCTGACAGTAGCAAAGTGTGGCTTCCCTTTGCAGCAGGAAAAAGCCAGGGGAAAAACTCCCCTGCTGCCAGGCTCCAGCAGTGGGAACAGAGCAGTTCCACCCACCTTTACAACTTCTAGGATGCGGACAGCGCTGGCAAAGTCGTTTAACCGTCTGCAGGCCCTGAGAGCCGCGTCGATGATTTTGGGCTCCGGGACCAGGTCATAACCCACCAGTGTGTTTATGCCTGTGGAGACAAAAAAAAAACCACCAAGAACTTGGAACCAGCTTGTCATGATCTCAAAAGGAACCCCTTGCTGTCTGCTCTCTTCTTCCTCAACAGAAAAACCCAGCAGCCAGGTGCTGCTGGAATGATCCCTCTGGCTGCAATTATCTGCTTATGCAATCACATTTTTAAGGCTTAGTTGAGGAAGTTTAATAAAACTTGGCAACTCCACAGCAAACAACTGGAGACAGCCGGACAAAAAGTCTGCAGGGAGTTATGGCCAAGCCATTAGTCCAAGTCCAAAGAAAAATGAGCACAGTAGAGCTCAAACACACCTTCTTCAGAGCAAATGTTACTCTCCCTCCCATCCAGGTGGTAAAATCATGGAATGGTTTGGGTTGGAAGGGACCTCAAAGATCATCTAGTCCACCATTCCACGAGACCAGGTTACTCCAAGCCCTCTCCAACCTGGCCTTGGACACTTCCAGGGATGAGGAGTCCACAAAACACCAACTAAAGTTATTATTTCTGGTCACAAAACTTCTGTTTGCTCCAGGTTATTCTTCCCTGTTCTTCCACGTACCTTTCCTGAGCTCCCAGGCATCAATATCTGGCTTATTGAAATATGTCACCCAGCGAGCATCGAATTCTTCATCTGATTCTTGTGACCCATGAGAGTAGCAGCGGGCAGGAAGCACAGCTGAAACCAGAGAAAAAAGGAACAAACTTGAGGCAAAAGGAAGATAACACTATTTTAGTCTTGAGCAAGGGGCCAGAAGCCATAAAATATGGATTTCCCTTGTTACAGTCGCTCTGGATCAATCCTGGATGAGCTCTAGGTGGATGTAACTTATTAAATATCATGGTTTATGTTGTGGCAAAATGTCTACTTTTTTTCCATGTAAGTGTTCCCAGAGCATTGGTCAGAGCAGGGGAAAGACACAAAAAGCAACTCTGGATGCCAGTCCTTAAGAGGTTTTCTGGCATTCCTTTTTCTGTAAAATATAGAATTCTCCCTCTTCCCACAGCCAAGTAAGATTGAGAAGCTTTAATATGCACATCCTTCACCAACAAAATTCCATGCAATTCCTACAGAGGCTCTCAAAAGCAAGGGGATGAGAGATATTCCTTCCAACAGAAAGGTGGGAGGAAGGAAAAAAAAAAGATCACACTATATCTACCCAAGAGAAAATTTCTGGATGTCAAGGCTGCAATTGCATTAACATTTGGTAACTAATCAAAAAAGCAGATTATATGCTAATGCACAAACTAGTCTGATATGACCATTAATTTGTTTCTTCACTCAGCACTATCACAAAGTGCTGTTTTTTTGGATGAACTTGTCTTTTTTTACTCCACAAGGTTGGAACAGTTTTCCAAGAGAACTAAACTAGAGGACCACAAGCCTGGTGCTTCCTTTTCCCCACTGCTAATCTCACTCCACTAATATTTGCAGAGAGGTCACACACCACATACAACCTTGGAGCTCAAAGCTCTGCTTCACAGAAGTCAAATTTAGCTCCTGAGTTTTTCTTTCTCAACCCAGCATGAACCACTCATGGTGATCAACTTCAGGTTTTATTTAAAAGAAAAAAAACAAAACCAAAACCAGAACTGGGTTGTATTTCTGCTGATATACTTCTCTTTGGTCTCATTAATGACAGCCCAATTAGCAGGCAATTTGCTTTTTTAACAAAATTTAACCTGGTCCAACATTTCAGCTGCTATACCGGGTTTATGCAATGCAAGCATGAAAATAGCTTTATTTATTTTAGCTATGGAAAAGTAAACAACAGGCCAACACAGAATTAAAATGCTCTTTTGGCTTCTGGAGGGAAATTCCCCCTCCTTTCCCCAGCTCCAAAGCAGATCTTTTTGACCCTGCTTTCTGCAACAAATCACCTGCACAGCTGAGCTCAGAGCAAGAGCAGGGTTCTTAAATGCTCCTGCTCCCAGGACACTGCTGAAAACCCTTCAGGTTTCAGCTGGTTGAAGGAGAATCCTTATTTTTCCTAAACGAACAAAAAAAATCCTATGGGGAAAACCAGCAAATCTCAGCTGAAGATAAGCCTAAATTGAAGAGCTCAAATGCCATCTTTAAGTCAAAATCTAAAGTCTTTCCTCACCAAAGCCATTCCCTGGATCCAGGAGGCAAATACAGACCATAAGAATTAAAACTCTGGATTACAGGGTGTGTTTCCCAATTGCTGCTGTGTTTCTTTTCCACATGAATGTTGCTATCTGTATCTGGAGATCGGACTGTGAGCGTCCCTCTGCCCTGAGTTTCAGCAGGGTCCATCAAGGTCACTGTCACACTCATGACGTGTGTGTGACAGCCAAGCCACGCCAACCTATCCAGGCAGAGATTCCCAACTCCAGAAAGAAACAAAGGGCAAGTACCTTTACTTTAAAGTGAACTCAACAGGCACTAAGAGCCTGGGAAGCCTAAAATCACCTAATATGGCACAAACACGTCTTAAAGCTTCTCCCTGATGGCCAGAATCGGTCAGTTTTCTCCAGTGATGAGCACAGAAGAAAAACACACGTGAAGAAAAACATTAATTTACTGGAAATCTGAGAAGGAGGAGCCCAGGGATGATGCAGGGAAGGTTTTGCAGCAATAGAACCCCCCCTGCAGCAGTGTTAAGTGGGGTGTTGGGAACACAAGACCTTGGAAAAAAAGAATACAGAGCCCACTGGAAACGAGGCCCACGAGCAGCCGGCATTCAGCAGCTCAAAGACTTTGAGTGGATTTAAAATAACAAAAGACCAAAGGTGTTGAGAAGCATCTAAGAAATCCTGTGCTTATTATTTAAAAAGACGCAGCGGCCAGGCTCCCTAAGGCAGCTGTTTAACTCACACGTGCCGCAGTAGAGCTACACACAAGTCTCCGAGCATTATTAGTGCCTGTTAACTAGGTATTAATTGCGATGAAGAAGTTAATTAGCTATTAATTGCGATGCACAAGCAGTGTATTCTCTGTAGCCTCCGTCTTCCAGCCCTGCCACCCTGGCCACCATCCCACCACGCTGCCTGGGGCTGGTCCTCCTTCTCTCCCTATTAACTGGGGCGTTAATAAGGTGTAAATATAATAAATAAAATTAATTGGGGTGTTAATTAGGAGAGTACGGGATGTCGCGGAGCTGGCGCGGACCCGGGGTTGGCCGGCTCCCCGGAGGTCACGGCCGCCCTCCATCAATGTCACCTTGGCGGGGGGCGCAGGGAAAGCGCAGTCGCTCCCCGCTGCAACCCCCGGGAGGTGCCCGGTGCCCCCTGAGGCGGTGCCGGCGGGGAGGTCCCGGTGGCGGCGGCGGGAGCGGCGGGGGCGGCCCACGCTAGGCCGCGGGGTCACCGCAAGGACACGCCGGGCCCCGCCGCCTCACGCCTCGCCGGGCACGGAGCCCGGGCGCGAACAGCGGCGGGATCGCGGCGGGAGGAACGGAGACGAGTACGGCCGCTCTCACCTGCTGGGCCGGAGGGCCGGCGGACGGCGGCGCGGAGGCCGGAGACGGCGCATCGGCGGAGGAGAGAGGCGCTGGCGGCCAGCATGGCGGCAGGCTGTGAAGGAAGAGACAGTACCGGGCACCGGGGGCGCGCACCGCACCGGGAGGGAGGGACGGTGATGAGGGACGGAGGTGAGGGCCGGGGGGGCCGCAGAGGCGGGTACGGCGGCGCGGCGGGGACGGACCGGCAAGGCGGGAGGGCGGGAGGCCACGGGGCTGGACTGGGGGCGCGGCGGGGCGGGACCGCCGCCATTTTGGGGCGGGGCCGGCCGCCATTTTGTGCGTGAGGGGAGCGAGTGCGGGGGTCTCTAACCTCACCAGGGAGCTTCTCAGAAGTGTTCGGGCTCGTTTTTGAGGGGTTCAAGCCTGGTTTGGAGGGGTTTGGGCTCGATTTTGAGGGGTTCGAGCTGCTGCTGTCCCCATTTCGCCGATCCCACGCAGCCTCAGTACAGCCTCCCTGTCAATGGATGCCCGCCCCACTCGGTCCCTGTGAGGGGAATGGGCTCAGACTCCTCAGCTGCCGCGTCCGCCAGCTCCCCGGTTCTGAAAATGTCCCTGTCCCCACGCCGTGGGCTGCTGCCCTCAGCCACCATCGCACCCACCCCGGCAGGAAATCGCGCCAAAACTCGTCCCTGGGACTGTGCCTCAGCAGTGCCGCACAAAAACATCGTGATTATTCCGCTCATCATGTCCCCGGTATCATCATCCTGTTTTAAATACTTTTGTTACAGTCATTTTTTATTATTTTCTCATGAAGGAAGCCTTCGGTCCACAGCCAGCAAAGCAAGGAGGGTAAAACCCCCAGTGCTGCCTCCGTGATTGGAAACTACCTGTCTATGAAATCAATTAAAAAGATCTTGCAAATTAACAAAATAAGGAGAAATAAGTGATTTTTGTTCTTTTTTTCCTTGCTCAGAGAAATGTGAGGTGGCAGCAGTGGAGGTGAAGGGCTGTTAGTGTTCAACTGTGTGGCTCCCACAGTCTTCAGGCTCTAATCAAAATGTTTACAAAGGGATTCATTAATTATAGGCTTATTAATTAATTTTATTAGTGATTTTTAATGTATTTGGGGTAGGTGCCTGTACCCGGTGCTCCTGTGTGGGGTGGAGGGTTGATCCTGAATGGGGTCTGCACTGGAGAAAGAAACTGGGAAGAGCTGGATGGGATAGAGCCGATAGAGCCCAAAGCTTTCCCAGCCCCAAACCCACAAAAAAATGATCATTACCATAAAAAAGCAGTTGGAAATTAATGTGCAAGTGAAGGAAATCAATCTGCAGCAAGGCAGATAAGCAAGAGCCTCTGGCCCGAGGAGCAGCTGCCTGCTGAGGGAGATAACAAGGTCACTGCCTCACAAAACAGACCCTGCTTCCTCCTCCTCCTCCTCCCCTTTCATCCCTCTCCCAGCCAAGCAAGCTCTTGACAAAGGGGGAATGCTGAGTGTCCCTGTAGAGCAGGAGTGAGGCAGGGAGATAAGGCAGCTGCAGCCTGAGAATCCCTCACACGTGGATTTTGGAAAGGGTTTGCTCCTTAATACCGATTAATTCATCCCGCAGTGCCCCCGGGCACTGGGCAGAGGGAGCCAGGTGGATCAGGGCTTGGCATGCCATAACCCATCCCCCAAATCTCCCCTGTCCCCACTGGAACTGGGGCTTTGCCAGGTGCTCCTGTGCCAGCACAGGAGACCCCAATCCCGTTCTTCCAAGGAACAGAGTTTGGCTGGGATCCCCTTATCCTGAGCTGGCAGCAGCCTTCACTGTGCTGATCTGTGCCATGGCCAGCAGCCAAGATGATCCCCCCATTTTCCCATAGACACATCTCAACTATTTCTAAAGAGCTTTTATTTTCCATTAATTTCTCTTTACCCCCTGGAAGTAGCAGGGATTTTGCTCCGAAGCACTCTGCAGCCAAGGCACGATCCCAAAACCTCCTCATCCTGTGCTGGTCACTGCATCCAGTCACAATAATCCCCCGCCCAACGCTTCCATTGCCTCCAGCTCCCATGGTTTCTCCCGACTCCAGATCAGAGTATCTGATGCTTTGGGTTGTTTTATTTCCTTGTGCCGTCCCACAGGCAGGCAGCAGTGCAATGCTTGGCTCTGTGGGTGCAGGGAGGCAGCAACCCCCGTGCTTATTTGTGTGGGTTTTTTGGGATGAATCACAGCCCCACAGGATGCTGAGCCCGGAATTAATAACTCTGACAGCTCCTCAGCAGCGAGTTTGATAGTGAAGGTTTTATTCCAACAAGCTTGGGGCAAATCCATCTCTCCTGATGGATGAGGCGTTGCAGTGGGGAGCGGTGGTGGTGGTCCAGGCACCCCTCGGCTGCTCTGGCTCCACGGGAGTCGCTGCAGGTTGTGGCTGGTGGTCACAGTGTACCTGAGTGGCTGAATTAGAGGTCACCAGCTCCCCCCCCCCACATCCTCACCTGCTTCAATCCATAACCGAGAGATGATGGGTTTAACCATTTAACCCTCACACCACATCTGGGGACCCCCATGAACAGGAGTCAAAGAGCAGCAAGTGGGGACAGGTCAGGGGGAGCCTGCAGCCCACCAGTGACCCTGGAATGAGTGGACATTCCTGCCGCGATACCTGGCTGGTGGGGTGGGAGTCATTGGGGTCAGTGATCCAGCTGGCCAGCGGTGGTCCCCGAGCCCCTGGGGCTGTCAGACACCTGTACCTGCAGCTTCTTGGGCAGCAGCTCCTCGCAGGGAGGGGGCAGCGGCCGCTTCAGCCCCTTGGTGGAGGATCCCGACGTGTCTTCTCCCGCCTCATGCCGGTGCTCTGGGGGCTGGTATCCCGTCTGGTTGGGATCCAGGGGGTCCCGGGAGAGCAGGATGCAGATGGAGGGCACGTTCTTGTGGACAGTCAGGTTCTGTGCAGGGCTGTCGGGCGGCGGGTCCTGGTTCTCCCAGACCTCCAGCACGGTTTTGTAGCGTACTTTGGTGACCTGGTGGAGCCCTCCCAGCTTGCGCTTCATGATCTCCACGCAGGTGATGGTTTTGGTGACCGCCCTGCCGCAGCCGCTGAACACAATCTGCCGCCTGCCCTTCAGCTCCATCTGGGCCATGGCAAAGTTCATCAGGTTCCTGATCTTGCTGCCCTCCTTCACTTTCATCTCCACCACGTCCGGGGGCAGGTCTGGGAAGGGCAATGGCATCTCCTCTTCCGAGGTCCTCACCTTTCGGAAGTTCTCCATCCTGGACTGGGCAGCGGGCTTGGCTCTCCCTCCTTCGGCAGCCATCCTTCACCTCTTCCCGGTGGATCCACGCAGGCTCCTAGCCCCCCGTGACCATAGCAGCGCTGACCTCGCTGCCCTCCAGCCCAGCCCTGCGTCCTGCAACCACCAGCCCCTTCCCCTCGGCTCTCCGGGGGCTGGCAGTGAGCTCGGTGGCAGTGCCAGAGGCTGTCTCCTGTGGGAGACAGGGCTGCAGGATTCCCTGGGTGCTCCCAGTTGCTCCCAGCAGGGATAACAGCCGGCTCCAGCTCTCGGTGATGCTTGGGTTCCTCCGCTCCCACTGCAGCACTCGCTTCTGCTGCTCTTTGCTTCATTCTGGACTTCAGCAGCCCCCAGAGCTGTTCTGTGTAATTAGCAGATCCTCCCCCTCTCCCTCCCCTTCCTCCCCTCCTCCTCCTCCCCTGCCTAGCCGCCCATCCCAGCACCCAGCTCCTGCCTTCATCCCTGCCAAGCAAAGGGGAGGGCAGGGAACCCAGGTCTCTGTCCCGGAACAGAGAGAGGAAGGAGGGGAAGGTGGAAGGCAGAGGGAGAAGCTCACTCTCGCCTTCATAATGTTCCCAAAGTCCTGCCCCCTTAAAGAGAACCTGGTCCCTTCTCTCGGCTCTCGCTCCTCTCAAGGACACCCACTGCTAACTGCAAATGTCACCCTGTCTCCTGCCCTGCAGCATTCCCAGCGGGATGCGGAATCGCAGCCACGCTGTGTCCAGGGATGGCACAAAGAGGCACCAGGTACTTCGGGAAGTACTTTGGAGTCTGAGCTCGACCCTTATTAGCCATGAGAGAAGTCACTTGAACCCGCAGCCAGGAGAAAGCCTGGCAGATGGCATCGCAGGCGAGCGTGCATCGAGTGTGCCAGGGCTCTGCTCCCCCCAGCACCCCGCATCCTCAGCCCCGGCTCTGCCGGCAGGAAAACCTCTCAATTCCCAAAGCTCCGAGGAGCAGATGCCGTGGCAGAGCTGGTTTTCACGGGCAATTTCTCCTTCTCTCCTGCTCCTCCTCCTTCCCCATCCCTCCCTCTCCACTCTGCTCTCCCAGTCCCTGTCCCTCATTCATCTCCACATGCCCACTGTGGGCTCACCATCACATGTACTGGCAACAAATCCCAGAAAATCCCTGTTGCAGGCCAGGAGATGTCCCCTTCCTGCCCCCAATCCCTTCCCGGGGCAGAGGCGACGTCCCTGCCCCAGGCTGGCCCTCTGCCCGCCCCTGTCACCTGCCTGTCCCCTGCCGCCCCGCTGGCCGGGGGATCATTGTACAGTGGAAAGACATGTGAGTATTGACTTGCAGTCAAATCTTATTGGCCTCTGGAGGCCCCTGGATTGGTTTCACTCCTAGCAGGGCTTGGGGAAAAAAAAATAAAATTGATCCCATGTCTGCGGAGGTGAAGGCAAGATGTGGCTGTCACCTCCTATCCCACATCCGTGTGGTCCCCAAAGTAGCTTTCTGTGGGTACCACTGTGTAAATGGAGGTGGATATGGGACATCCCCTGACCTAACCACTGGATTGGGGTCTGGGTGTGTCTGTCAGCAATGGGATGAGAGTCTCCATCCACAAGCAGTGTGCTGGAAAACCCCTGGAGATGCAGGGCATTTTCCTAATCCATCTGACTCTCCCTAAGGCTCCTAGGGCACAGAGAGGGAAACTGAGGCAGAGCAGGCAATGCTCCCAGGCTCACTCCCAGCACCAGATCCAGGCTTTGAGCATTGCCAAACCCCTTCTGGTGCTCTGCAGTAGTGAGCAAACCTATTCCCTATGCTCCCAACCATGGATTTCTCACATCTACGAGACAAAACAATGACATTTCTCCAACTTTCCACTTGACAACACTGCACAGAAACCTCGCAGAAGGCACTTGGCTCCCTTCTTGGGCAGGCAGGGATGGATTAAACCCTTCAGGGAAATTCCTGCCTTCAAAATGTGCTAAACCCCTGGGGAAATAATCGGGAAGGATTTTAGTGACTGAGAAATCCCTCAGGGTCATTATCCAGGTACCCTGTGAGGTTACATGGACACGGAGGGATGACAGCTCCAGGGCTCTGGGCAAGCCACGTGAATCCCTGGTGCTGGCTGAACCATCCAGCCCTTCTTTCCTGGCCCAGAACCAGCTCCTGCCTCCCGTGGCCCATTTTCCATGGCGCCGTGGTGCTTCCCCACCATTGGATGATGGAAGCAGCAGCTCCTCTCCCCCATCTCTAATTGCTGCTTAATGAACTCTGCTTATCGCAGCCTCCGAAATGGAGGCAGGAGAGGTGCAATCACAGAAAGGCTGCCAGAGGGTGACTTCCCCCCAAGGCCAAGGCTGTGCTGGGAGCAGTGGGGGCATTAATGACAGGGGCTTATTTTCCCTCTGCAGCACTTAAAATGTAAATGAAATTCATTATTAGCAACTCCGTTGCTAATTACCATCTGAAGCTATTCATTAGCCTGTCAGCTTATTTGTTGGAGGACAACAGAGTGGATAGGTTACTCCAAGCCAAGAAATAGCTGCTGAAGTGAGCTCAGCAGGCTGGGAGAGGAAAAGCAGGGATGGGGGGACAAAGGCACAGACAGCTCCAGCCATGGGGGATTAGGGAAACAAAAGCTGGAAAAGAGGATGGGGAGTCCATTAAAATGGAGAAGAAGCAAAGGGGAAAGGCAGGACTGATGAAAAAAATAAGACTAAAGGAATTACACACTAAATATTTTCTGTCTGTCCTTCCTGAGCAGCACTGTAACTCTGGTTACAGTGGGATCCAGGGAGTGGTTTCTTCTTCCCTTTTCCCATTACAGTTTCTCTCTGAGCATTCTAGTTCCATCCCAACCCCATGCCAGAGGAGTTCCAAATCCCAAATCTTGTCTGGTCCCAACCCCACAGGAGTGTAACCTTGGAAGAGCTATGTGGGAGAGCATCCAAGAGGAGAGCTGGTGGTGGCAAGAATGGACAAGGCTGCTGAACACAGCATGGAGCCTAGCCAGACCTGCAAAAGTGGGGAAAAAACCCCAGAAACATATTCCTAACAGAGACCAGTGCAGCTGGAGAGGAGCAGTAACCCGAGCCCCTGTCCTCCACCTGCCCTCTCCATATTTTCTTTCATCCAAGGTGGCCCTGCTCAGGAGCGGGACGGAAAGTGGGAGCATCCGATACAAGGAAGGTGTCGGTGCCATCGTCCATCTCTGCGTCACATCGGCCCGGCTCAGGTCTCAGCCTCTCATCACATTGCACTCCACAGCGGGCTGATGCCAGGGCTGATTGTAACCCTGGCAAAAGGGGTGCAGAGGGACCCCCCAGGATGCCACAGCTGCAGGGATCCCCTGTCCCTGTCCCAACCAGGGTTCTGGAGTTGCTGCTTCCCAGGAGCAGCCCCCTGAAGATGTAGCCCAGGGTGCAAGGGCTGTCAAGATGCCAGAGGAACCCTCGGAGCATCCTAGGGTGGCATCAGCTTTCTGCTGAGTTCTTATCCCTACCGTAAGCAGAAAATTACAGAGCTCAAGATAATCCTCATTTTGAATAGCCCGACAGTAAAAGAAAAGGCAAAAATCCCTTTCGTAAGACAAATCCCTTTGCAGAGCTTCAGCATGATAAGCAGAGGGATGTTGGAAGGACCCTGAGGGCATTAATAAACCTGAATGTTCCTCACCAACCCCACCTGGGACCCCAACCCACCCCCTGCCCATGGCCCAGCTCAACCCACGGGTCTCAGTCCTAGTCTCAGCTATGTCAGGACTGGTCTCTGGCTCAGCTGCAGCTGGTCTGGACTTCAAGTTAAAGACTGACCCTAAACTGAACCTGTGGATTGATTTCCTTGTTTTTGAACCTGTTTGCTTGCTGGGAATTTGCTGCTTGATCCAACCTTTTCTTCGGACCTGCCAGTCCTCCCTAGCCTGCCCTGCTTAGGTAGTGTGGGATGGGCAGGGAGGTTCTTCCCTCTGTTATCCCTTGGCTCTTCAGGCATTCCCTGTGAAGGAGAAGAGCACACATCCATTTGATTCCTGAATATCCCTGACTGGAAAACCTGCAGGCAGACAGGAATATGGTAGTACCAAGGGCAAGGAGCAGCTCTGTAGGTGACCATTCCCAAAGCCTCAGTGGGATGGGAAGGTGCTGAGGTAGCAGAGATGCAAGTGGGGAGGAAATTTAGGTGAGAGAAAACTGGAGAGATAAGAAATAAGGCACAAGAAATCAGCTTTAAATCTCCAGTGTGCTCAGTGCCTACAGGCAGAGCCAGAGCAGCTCTCCAAGGCACTGAGCATCCCCAGTGCTTGGCGGGAGTGGGAATCCATGACCCTATTCCCCCCTCCTTTTCCTTCCCTGCTGCTGGGCAGAGCATGGAGCTGGATGTGCAGGGGTCCCTGCTCTCTGTGGGGAACAGCTCAGGGTCAGGTCCAAGACCCAGAGAGGGCTCAGAGTGGACAGCTGGACCCCCTGCTATGGGGTCATCTGTGGCACGCTGGTTTTCCTGCTTCCCTCTATTTTACCATCTGTGAAGCAGGCATTTTCCCTGTTTCTGCCAGGTTTCTTCCTTGCATCCCCACAGTAATGCTGTTCCCCTGCCGAAGGGGTTTGGCCACCAGGGCTCACTGGTGTTAGATTTTGCTGCTTCCTTGCCCAGCTGTTCTCATCTTCTCACGGTGGGATGTTGTCCTTGCTGCCCCTCCATGACCCTCAAGGCTGGACCCCAGGAAAGGAGGATGATTTAGCTGTCAAATAAAGTAATTTTCACAACACTTTACCATTGCCTCCTGGATATAGGGAGCCTGTGTACCCTGCCAGAGACTGTCCCCCAGAGCCCCTGCCCTACTGGGGCTGGTCTTCTGCCCACATAGCACTTGCGATGCCCTGGGTAGGGGTCACTGCAGCCCTGCCCACAGAACCCCCAACCTTATTGAGCCCTCCAAGCCCCATAGAGCACTCCCAGCCCCATGGAGCCCTCCAAGCCCCATAGAGCACTCCCAACCGCATGGAGCCTCCAGCCCTGTAGAGCCCCCCAGGCCCCATAGAGCACTTCCAGCCCCATAGAGCCCCCGGCCCTATAGAGCACTCCTAACCCCATAGAGCCCCCAGTAAAGGCCCCGCCCCCTTCCCCTCGGCCCCGCCCCTCCATCCGGCGGCATCAGGACCCTGGACAGCGGCGGGCGCTCTCGCGAGATCCCGGCGCTGCCCATAGCCCGGGCGGCGGCGGCTCCGCAGTCTCGCGAGAGCGCGGTCGCTGCGGCAGGAGCAGCACCGGGCGGGCGGGCGGCCGCCGCCACCCGCCGGGGACCGGAGGGGACGGGACGGGTCACGCCACGTGGTGAGTCCCGGGAGTGTGGAGAGGGAAAACGCGGCGGGGTGAGCGCGCTGGATGCTCCCCGCGAGGGGACTGACCGCCCTTTGCACCGACCTCCCGCTCTGCACCCCTCCTGCGGGGGGGGATGCGCGGCGTGGGGGCAGCCGCGGTGACCCTGCACACGCGTGGGTGCAGCGGGGACCGAGCGGGGCTTGGGCCGCCCTTGTCCCCGATCCAGGCCGCTGCTGGGAGGCTGCTCTGGCTCTGAGGTGGGGATACGTGGGGCACGCAGCCCTTCACGCGTGGAAACGCACGGGCGATGCCGAGCCCTGCCTGCCTTCCCCAAACCCACCTCGCGCACCAGAGGGGTTTCCTTTCGGTGCCATCACCTATGTGATCCCCCCTCCTTTTTCCACGCGCTCTACCATATTCCAACCCCTCCACCATATTCCTAATTTTGCAACAAAACCCCGCCCGTATTTATCGCTGTCCCTGTGCTTTCTCCCCACGGTGGGGCAGATGTGGGGTCGGGGGGCTCCTGGCCGTGTGTCCCCGCTCCCGACACACGTGGGTAGGGGCGGCCGGGCGGACGTCACCGTGCCCGAGGAGCTCGTATTTATAGCACCGGCGGGATGGAAGCATCCGGGGCTGCCGGCGGATGTCGGGAGACGGCGAGCCCTGGGGGTTCGCTGTGTCTTTGGCGCTGAAAGACCCCTAGAACGAGACCCCCAAATCCTCCCGGGAGCCCCAGGCACCAACTGCCGGCACCCCGTGTCCTGGGAAATGTGTTGGCCGCGGCCAGCTCTGCCTGGATAGCAGGGAAAGGGCAAAACCTGCAGGCAGGTGGGGATACGCCATCTTCACGCTTCTATTTAAAACCTCAGGTCTTAATTTTTTCCTTTAATTGGCCGTAATTTTCACTTCTGGCACCGAGCTGAGCATGGAATGGTCTGGGATGGTCCTGGGATGCCGAGCTCCTCCCTTTCCCACCTGCATGCTCTGGAATGAGGTGCCAAATGACATGAGTAATTGTTAAGCCAGGCACTCAAGTGACTCATTAGTGACAATCGCCACTGATTTATCTTTTTTTTCCAGCTGGTTTCTCTCCTCTGATTTTCCTGCTCCCTTTTTGGCCTTGTTTTTGGCTTGGGCTTGCAGAAATGACAGCAACGAGGCAGCCAGGTAGTCCCCTGTGTTGGAATTCAGCAAAAATAACAATAATACATTTTTTTAAGAATTATTTTGGGAGCAGATCATGAACTTGAGGGTTTCAAACTGCCCACAGCCACCTCCTTTCCCTGCTGCCCTACCTGGCCCTCTCCTGGATGTAGGTCAGTTGGGAGTGGGAGGCCACACATCACTGGATCCTCTCGTAATCTTCTGCCTTAACTGGTACATAAGCCTGAGCCAGAGGAGCCAGGATTTATCTCACTGCCAGCCAGGTGCCAGCCTGGATGTGTGATAGTCCAGAGTGTCACACAAGTGAAGCAAACTGCTGTCCTTGAGTTGTTTTGGAACAAGGGGGGAAGGCTTTTGCAGACGTCCCTGACCACTTCAATCAACCTTTTCTCTCGTTCTCCTCCAGCTTTGCTAAAGCTCCCTCGTTTTTCCCAAGTATTTTTCCTGAGGAGCAGAGAGGCTGAGTGTGTGCCAGCATGGCAGGTATGGGGGGGCTCTGGAGATCATTGTGGGTTTTACTGGCCATAATGTCACCTCGTTAGTCACCAGTGGGGTGGTGGGTGTCCATGGCTGCAGTGTGGCCAGTGAGGGCTGAATTTGATCCTGTTGGGTGGGTTGGTGGCAGTTTCCATGGGAAATCCTTAACTCCTTGTCCGTTCTTGGGGTTCTTCAAGAATTTTCTTGGTTTTTGTTCAGCTCTGGGCAGTGCCTGACACCAGTGAAACTTTCCATTGCAGAAAAGGTGAACAACTTCCCTCCCCTGCCCAAATTCATCCCCCTGAAGCCATGTTTCTACCAGGACTTCGATGCGGAGATCCCGCCGCAGCACCGGACCATGGCCAAGCGGCTTTACTACCTCTGGATGCGTGAGTGGCTGCGTGGCAATGGCTCCAGTGGGATTTGTTTGCCTCTCCAAAGGCTGCTCCTCTGGGAGCTGCCAGCTGAAAGGGCAGGGCAAGGTCAGGGGAAGCCCTTCTCCCCCTCCAGGCCTTGGTGTCTCCCGTCAAAACTCAGGAATGAGAGGTGGGCTGCAGCATCCTGTGGATCCCAGCCTTTCCAGCCTCCAGGATGGAGCTGTGGAGCTGGCTCAGTGTCCCAGGGTCATTGGTGGTGATGTTGATGTCCTGCTCTAAGGAGGAGACAGCTCAGACTGGAGGGTTGGTGTCTCTGCTCCCCAAAACGTGGAGCTTGAGGCTTCCCAGAGCTTGCCTGTTCCTCTTGCATGCCTCTGTGTGCCGTGCTGTGCTAACAGAGCTGTCACCAGCTTCCACCTCTTCCAACTATGCTGGATCTCTCTTCTTCACCAACCCTGGGCAGGGAACAGAGACAGAGGGAGAGGTCACACCCCAACACAGGTGGGGAGCACAGCTCAGGACAAGCTGGCACCAGCATTTCATTTCTTTATAGAAGAACTTAGTTCCCTTATCAGGCGTTTCCCCTGAACTTTGGAAGCATCAGTGCCCAGGGAGTGCCTTGTGCTTTAGGGGCAGGTTAGGAAGAGCTGAGCTAACACCACAGAGGTTGTGTGTTCCTGCTTTTGGCAGGGCACCAGGCTGGTACCCCTGGGGCTGTGTCCCATCAGGAAGGAGACCCTGGGGTAGCTTCATCATGTCACTTGTTTAAGGCACTGGAGGAAAAAAGCCGTGCTTCCCCAGGGAAGCTCTCTTGGGGGCGTTCAATTCCCTTCCCATCCCAACCAGGATGTTCTTCCTCTAAATGTAACAGAGCTTGGTCCTTGCTCCTCAGCACAAGCACCAGCTCTCAGACCCAGTCGCTGTCCCTTGGGTTTTGCCTCTGGAGATCCTCTCTGGGTCATTTTCTCCCCAGCAGCCCCTCAGACACCTAGCACAGAGTCCCTTCGTGTCCTTTAGGGCAGCCTGGGCAGCTGAGCTCCTTCCCTTGCCAGCTGCAGCTCTCAGGCAGGCGGCGGTGGGAGGGCTTTCGTTCTCGTCGAAATAATGAATCATTCTCCCAACTCGGAGGCGTCAGAACGCAGCTGAGCCTTCTCTGCTTTGTCCTGTGTCTGCTGAGCTGGGATTCATAGTCAGAGCCCTTGTGTGGCCTGATCCCAAGCTGGGGTGGGCGAGGGAAATGTGTCACCCCCTGAACTGGCGAGGCGGGGTCAGGAGTTCAGGATTTTGGCTCTCAGTCGTGCTCAGGGAGCTTCTGCACAAGCCCCTTCGGCAAAGATGTATCTGGAGCAAGCAGAAAACTTCACCACAATTCCTCCAGCTTCCTTCTGTTAGTGGTTATGTGTCCTGGCTTGATAGGAACGGGAGGATGTGACTCTTGCCAATCTTCAGAGCCCTGGAACTGCTCAGGGAATTACAATTCTGAGTGATACATTGATTTTCCTCCTGTTACACTCAGCAGAGACCTGACCCCCTTCGGCGCAGCCAGCCTGGGAACGTACTCCAGGCTTAATTTAAGAGAAGCCCAGCTAGAGCAGGACTCCGAGGCCACATCCCTGGGGTCGGGTTCCTTGGTGTCTCAGTGCCACCCTTGGGTCCGTGCTACTCTGCTCTGTGTGTGTGTGTGTTTGCAGTGAACAGCATCACCTTGGCGGTGAATCTCGTGGGCTGCCTCGCGTGGCTCATTGGAGGCGGCGGAGCTGTAAATTTTGGACTGGCAATTCTCTGGCTCATTCTCTTTACGCCCTGCTCCTATGTCTGCTGGTTTAGACCTATTTACAAAGCTTTCAAGTAAGTGGTCGCACCTGAGCCTGGCTTCTTTTTGCCTTGTTTTCCTTCCCAAACGGTCAGTGTTTAGCTTGGGGCACTGCCTGACTAATTGGGGGAATTCCTTTCTGTGCAGCCTTTTAGCTTTACTTTCTAACCTTCAAAACCAGAGTGTTTGGGATTTCCTGGGGGCCAAACCCCCCACCAGGTGATGTGTGCCTCTGTGCAATGGTGGGGGACAGTGGTGAGGATGCAGCTGGGGTGCTGCTTTCCCTCTCATCCCTGAGGCATCTTTTATATTTTTCCACCAATCTTTGAGGTGTTTGTACGGATTACCCATAGTGCTGAGGTCCGTCCCCCAGTCTAGAGAACTAGGGGTGTATTTATTCCCCATGTGGGGTGGTGTGAGCTGAGAGCTGTGCCCCAACACAGATGTCCTCAAGCCCAGCTGACTGAGCCATAGGGAGGGTCTGGTGGCCCTCCCTACGTGGCTTTCCCAGGTGCCCCTTGACCACCTCCAGCCTCTTGCAGTTTCTCCTTTGCTTTTAATTTTGCTTTTCATCACCCTCCTGCTAAACCACGGCCAGGTCTGATACTCAGGAGCATCTCCCTTCCCTTGGAGTGCAGCAGGGATGGAGGTGCAGGAGTGACTGAGCCTTCTCTTGCAGGACAGACAGTTCCTTCAGCTTCATGGCCTTCTTCTTCACCTTCATGGCCCAGCTGGTGATCAGCATTATCCAGGCAGTGGGGATCCCTGGATGGGGAGTCTGGTAAGGAAATGCTGCTGTGTTGGGTACAAGGGTGGTCACCGTGGTGTTTTCGAGTCCTTACTGGTTCTCCCCTTGGGGAAGATGGTTTGAGGAGCTGGGAGGGCTGCTGGTAGTTTGGGAGAGCCAGTGACTGAACCAGTTGTTTCCATCTCCTTGCAGTGGCTGGATTGCAGCGATTTCCTTCTTTGGGACCAACGTGGGCTCGGCTGTGGTGATGCTGATCCCCACTGTGCTCTTCACAGCCATGGCAGTGTTCTCCTTCATCGCTCTCACCATGGTATGGAAGGAAAAACTGGGGTTCCACATTGCTTTGGGGGGCCCTCACTGTCGTTGTAAGGCCAGAGAGCAGCAAAACAACACAGCAACACAGGCTTCATTCAGAAAGCAGAAGAAGCGATTTATTGCACAAATAGACACATTTTTATAGACTGGTTCGCTGAACCAAAGGATAGAATAAGCTCATTAGTCCAAGGAAGGCAACACCTCTTGTAAGCATGATTTTACTAAAACACCTCATTCTTCACGCACTCCTCCTGTCCACAACACTAGCTGCTAAACTTTGTTATTAATTCTTTCTTTTCTCTTTTCCTTGGAGTAGCTTGGGAAAACTCAACCTGCTGTTTTCCCTGGTTCACACCTCGCCACCACCCCGGGCACTCAACCCCTCTGGATTTTGCCCTGCAGGTGCACAAATTCTACCGGGGCAGCGGCGGGAGCTTCAGCAAAGCGCAGGAGGAGTGGACCACGGGCGCCTGGAAGAATCCCCACGTGCAGCAGGCGGCGCAGAACGCGGCCATGGGGGCGGCGCAGGGCGCCATGATGCAGCACGAGACACAGTACTCGGCCACCCCCAACTACACCTACTCCAACGAGATGTGAGCAGCAGCAGGACTCTGTCCTCGGGAGGAAGAGCTGGGGTGGGGGGGAAAAGGGAGGAGGAAGCCTGAGCCGAGTTTCTGTCTCAGAAAGTCAGTGTGTACCATAATGGTGGTTCTTTTCCCGTCTTTGTAACAAGATCCTTTGGGATTTTTTTCTTTCCTTTTTTTTTTTTTCTGTTTTTCTTGTCTCGAGATCTTCTTTTCTCCTTTCTTTTTCATTCTGAAGAGGCCGTGAGTTGACCTGCAGGGCTCTCGTTGTGCGTGGTAGTCAGTGTCTGTTCACGTGTCTTCTTTTTCCCTGTGGAATAGTGTACGGTGGTGGTTTTTTAATTACTGTGGTGATAGGTGTACGTTAGAACCTCATCAGCCAAAAGCCCCCCCATGCCCCCAAAAAGGGAAAAACAGCAACCAGCACCCATCTTCCCTCTTGGAATAAGCCCTGAACCACGAGTTTTTGACGTGTGTGAGTTTTCTCTTTCAGTTGGTAGTGTCCAGCCACTTGCCACTGTCTCAGCAAGGGCAAGCAATCCTGGGAATTCTCCCTTTTTCTTTTGCTTTTTAACTAGCAGGTGGCTGGCTGATTTAGAATTAAAGGGAAAAAAAAAAAAAAAGGGAAAAAAATACAAGAAACCCTCAATCCTGCTGTTGATATGCTGGAAGCCAAGAGATTCCTAATCTACACCTGGCTCAGGATCTACAACTTCTCTCAGTGTGTGGTGTTGTAAGTGAGTAGTTTACACTTTGACGTGGAGGACCAGTGCGTGTGTGTGCGTGTGTGTGTGTTGGGGAGCAAGGACAGGTTTTCTCTGTGGGAAACAACCATCCCATTCCAGATTCTGCATCCTGAGTCTGTTTTTTTTAAAGGCTTCTGTTTTGAAAAGCAGCTGTAAAAGCGACAGAGCGTTCCTCAGAGGATCTTGCTTGGGCAAGGCTGCGGGTCAAATCTTGCCACCCCATGTCCCAGCACATCCAAGCAGTCTCCCTGCTCATGGAAATAGCCAGGCCAAGGTTTGTCCCCGTTAGCTTTGGAGGTTTGTGCTAATTTAAGTCTCTTAAGGAAACCTCCAGGCTGGAGGGAAAGACTCCTGCTCACTTGTGTTTTTAAAAAGTGTGGTGAGATGTGGCCGTGTGTTTTCCTGGTGCAGAAATCCCTGTCAGGCCCAAATCCCTAGCCAATTTGGGGATGTTGGACATTAAATAATGGTCCTGCACCCTAGCAGGGGGCAGCTGAGCTCAGACCAATACTTACTGGGGAAAGTGACTGGCACACTCTGGAAAAGATTATGTGTGGGAGCATAAATGGGATGGATGCTGCAGGGCAGGAGTAGGGAAAGCTACTTCTCTGAGATGCTTTTCAACTCTAAATGCACTTTAAATAAGCCAAATTTTTCTCCAAGTCCTTGAAAAGCAGCCCAAACAGAATCCAATCCAGTCCCTTGGCTCCAGTATCTCCTGCCTGACACAGGGAAGGAGCTCAGTGTGCCACCAGCCAGGCTGTGCGAGTCCCCAGCCCCATATCTGCCCCTTCCAGCCCTCCAGTGATGCTTGGATGTGACCCCTACCCCTGAGAATCACCCCAAAAAGGACCTTCTCTTCTCCAGCAAAGCACACCAAGACTAGTTTCCTTTTTAAGGGTATCTCTCTCCAGTCATTCTGCAATAGGCAGTTGTCTCTTGACCAGACTAAAATGCAGCTACTGATAAAATGCCTGTCTGTGTGTGTGTGTATATATTTATGTATAAAATGTCAGGAGAAAAGTAATCCTTTGCTAAGCCTATTATGTACTTAATCAGGTTTAAATATTGTGCAATCCATTTCTAGCTCGCCTAAAACTTACTCTGCCAAACCACGTGCTCTGTCATCCGTGTCTGAGAAATGATGGATTAAGTGACTTCACCTCTTGCATTGACAATAAGATGCATCAATAATAACTGTAATGAGCTGTAACTAACAGACATTGCTTCAGCACCTAACCCTCCTCTCCAGTGTGTCTCCTGAGTGTGTCACAGCTGAAATGTTGCCCCAGTGGCTCCAGCCAGGTGGGAAACTTGACTCCTTGTTCTCACCTTGGTTATTTGTAAGCTGTCCCTGCTCCAGCGAGGGCTGATGTGGGTGTGATCAAAGCGTGGTGCTCCTGAAGCCCACAGGGTGGGAGAGATGAGGTGTTCCTGCTGCTGGGCAAGAGGCCTCTGGGGATAGAACACACTTGGGGTGTCCCTGTCACCTTCCATGTCCTGCAGTCAGCAAAGCAGAGCTCTCTGTCTCTTGCCATCCTTGCTGCTTGTTTGTAGCCAATATAAAAGGAATGCCCGAATAACTGCTGCTTTCGAGCTGGATCTGCAACAGGGACACCTTCCACTGTCCCAAGCTGCTCCCAGCCCCGTGCAGCCTGGCCTTGGACACTGCCAGGGATCCAGGGCAGACACAGCTTCTCTGGGCAGCCTGTGCCAATTCCTTCCCAATACCCCACCTAACCCTGCCCTCTGGCATGGGAAGCCATTTCCCCTCCTCCTGTCTGTGCCTCAGACAATAAATACTCAGTCCTTTAACCCACTTTCCCCTGCCAACTCTGTGTGGCTGCCTTGAATCCCGTAGGAAAGGTTTCACTCCTGGTCTCTAACACTTTCCTAGGCTCAGATGTCACCCGTCACCTGAGGGTCCCCCAGACCTTCTCCTCGACCCCATTCCCCACACACCGAGTTTTTTTGACCTTTGTTACATTCCAAAACCTTGCCACGAGCCAGAATCCCCGCTAAGACCGCTTCCTGAGCAGCCTGAAGGTTGCTTTGGCGAGATCCCTCGCGTGGGAACGACTGGGACACAGAGGGGGACAAAGCCCTCTCGGCTGGCAGCACAACCGCCATAACCCGGGCCGAGACCTGAGGGGCCGCCATGACACCCCTTCCTCGCGCCAGGCGCGCGCTGCCTGCACCAATCAGCGCCGTGGGCTTGAGCAGCACGCACCAATCAGCGCCGTGGGCGGGAGCAGCACGCACCAATCAGCGCCGTGGGCGGGAGCAGCACGCACCAATCAGCGCCATGTGTGCTCCCATTCCCGGCAGCCTCTGCGTCCCCGGTCCCTCGGGAGCCCGTTCCCCTCACGGCCCTCACGGCATTCCAGGCCGTACCTCGGGCGCTACCGGAGCGCTGTTTGTTACCTCCCCGTAGCCCCCCGGGGCTTCTCCGTGCTCTTGTGCGGCCTTTTGGAGCCGTGTCCGGTATCGCTACCGCGTTAAAAGTCGAATTAATGAACCCCTAAGGGCCTGCAAATTGCTTGTTTTGTAGTGGCTGCTTCCCCACAGCTGTGTTTGGGTAAGAGGAAAGCGCGGCCCAGCACTTTTTTTGTCGTTGTATTCCGTATATTATTATACATACAGCTTTTATTATAATCCTTTGCCATTATTTTATAGTTTTTTACCACTATTTTGCTATTTTTGCCGTTATTTTTAAATACGTACCATTTTAAAATTTTAACCTTTTTACCATTATTTTACCATTTTAATGATTGTTTTATAATTTTATCATTTTTACTCTTTCTACCATTACTTTATAATAATTTGCAAGCATTTTGAAAGTTTTATACTTAAAAATTTGCGTTTTAATACCCAAGCTTTAATTTGTGGGTGTTTCGGCAGAATTAATTGTGGACGTTTTGGAAACATCCTAGGGGTGCTTTAAGTAGATAATAGTTTTAATTTTTTATAAATAGTAATAGTATGATTTTAATTAGATATGGGTAAATATGTGAAGCGTGGTGGTAGCATTAAAATCTTTCAGCCAATGTCCTGCTACATTTCCTCACCTCTTAATTACCCTTGCTAATCAGCAAAGCTGAAATTGGGCTTTGATTGGGAGGTGTCCCTGCCCATGGCAGGGGTGGGACTTGGTCACTTTAATTTCCTTTCCAACCCAAACCAGGCTGTGATCCTGTGAAATTCCTCTCTCCAACCTCCAGTTGCTCCCAAAAATCAGGGCAGTCTGTGTCCATCTTTTTCTTTCCACCCAAAGTGATTCCAAGCAGCTTAGTTTGAACAAAGACATCACTAAAATGGAACAAACTTTGCAAATGGATGCAGTGATTTTTTTCAAGAACTGAATTTACTCTTTGCTACTTAGTCATTAATTGATTGTGTTTGAGATGCTCGTGTCAATTTGCCCACCAAAACATTAATTTCTGATTTTTATCAGTGTGGCAGCAGCATAGGGAGGCCAGGAGGAAGCAGCAGACCTGAATTTGAGCTGCTAGGGAATAATTTCTAGTGCTGCTGTAAATATTTAGGAACACAGTAAAAAATGAGATGGTTGTGCATGCAGTGAGGCCCCACGTTTTTAATTATTAAGACATCTCTGTGCATTTATTAATCACCAGAGAGTGCAAAGGGAAAGCAACTCGGCAGGGGACTGTTTGCCTTTAGAGAACTTAGTGTAAAATTTTATCCCAAATTGGTTTATCTGTCCTAAATTCTGGACCATATTCAGCATGTGTGAGTCTTAATTTTGAGGGGCATGAACTTTACACCAGGGTGCTTCTGTGGCATCTCTGCTCAAGTTTTAGGAGTCTGTTTCCCAGTATCCAAGAGAAAAATGTAATTAAACACCGAGCTGCCCTTAAAGTTCTGCTGGTGCCTGAAATCCTTGTATTTGTGGGGTGACCCAGAGTCATCCCATTTTTCTAGAGTCCAGGCCAGATCCATGCCTTAGGGAATGTGCTGGGAGGCTCTGTCAGTCCAGTGTCTTTGCTTTCCTGTGCCTGCACAGTTGGGTTGGAGCATGGAGCCCATCTCCCTGGCAGAACCAGCCATTCCTGCAGGAAACAGCTCGTCTGTGGCACAGGGAAAATTCCATGTGCTGGTGGGAGTGACTGGAAGCGTGGCTGCCCTCAAGCTGCCCCTGCTCGTCGCAGAATTGCTGAAAATCCCTGGGGTGAGTGAAGCTGTTGGTGGAGCTTTGTAAACTTGGAGTTACCCTGGAGTTTTGAGGAGAGATCACGTGGCTTCTGCTGAAATGACAAGTTCCTCCTTGGGGCCCTTTAGTTCAGAAATTTCTGTGAGGAGGATTCCACTTGTTTTTTAATTATTTTTTCCCCTTATTTCATACTTGAAAAGGTCTTTGCTTTGGGTGGGTTTTTATTTGGGGTTTGTCCTTGTCAGTCAAGTTATCAGATGTGGTTGCAGACAGAGGTGATGCTTCTGAAACTTGAAATCTCCAGGGTATTGCAGTTTTCCATGAGTGGGATGTGGCCTTTCCAAATGTGATCCAGAAAGGGAAAACAGACCTTGTAAAACCAGAAATGGAAAACACAAGCTGCTCGATGTGTTTGTGTAGTATTTTATTTTACTCTTTGTTGTCTGGAGTAACAGAGGTGCCCAGCAGAGGCCACTGGTGACTGCTCAGGGAGGGAAATCTGCTCTTTTCTGCTTTAGGATAAAGTTAAGCATAGAAAACTTGTAGGTTTTTAGAAATGGAGGAAATATTTTGGAGCAGTGAAAGAAGAAAGTGACAGGGGCAAGAGGGTGCACTGAAATGTGCAGATTTATTGATGAGATTGCTGCATGAATATCCTTTGGGATGACTTGGGAGGCTGTACCTTGTGGGTCCATTGAGTAGAGGCAGAGGAGGTGCTGATTTATCTGGTTGATGTTGATATCCAAGCTGATAAGGGTGCTGGAGGTGAGGCATGTGTGGCAATGTGAGGCCTCAGTTAATTTATGACTCGACCTGATGTGATTAGTGAGGTCAAAGGTCCCAGCCTGAAATAAGAAGGACAAAGAAAAATGACATCAAGGAATGAGGTGACCAGCCCAGAGATACAGATCTTCTAATCCTCTCCCTCTTGGATTAGCTTGGCTATTGTCCATTTTCCTTTGCTCCTGGAGCTTGGGACATCCTTCTGTGCAGAATGCAAATGTCCTGTGGTAAGAATGTGGCTCAAACCCTTTGCTTCTCTCTGTGTTTGTTTTGTAATTAAAAGCTGCAGACAGCTGGATTCAAACTCTGTGTAGCCCCAGAGGTCTGTGACATCCAGTGCAGACTTTGTGGCCACTGGTTTTAGGGCAGAAAAAGCAAAAGTGAGACGTCCAGGAGTTTATAAAAGCTTATTAACCAAAGTTATTTACTCATTTCTGCTGTGATTTCAAGGCCTGCTGAGTCGGAGTAACTTTCCTATGGAGTTTGTTGATCCTGCACCAGGCTGTTGCATCAGTTTCTTTACTGCTGGAGCAGAGCTTCACAAAGCAGGCAGGGCAGGAGCAGAGGAAAGGCTTTGATACCAGAGATGTGGTCACAGGCTTGCCACCAGAGTGGTTAGTTTAAATTGATGTTTTGCCTGAAATGGTCTGTGGTGAACGACTTGGCAGAGTGATTTTGCTGCTCATTAAACTTTAACACCTCCTCGATGGTGCCAGTGGATGTGACAGCTCACTGCCTTCTGCTTGGCTTGTCCTTGACTTGTCCTGGAAGTGTCCAAGGCTAGATTGGACAGGGCTGGGAGCACCTTGGGATAGTGGAAGGTGTCCCTGCTATGGCGGGGGGTGGAACTGGAGCACCTTTAATTTCCAGTCCAAGCCAGTCTGTGATTATTAGAGTAAAGAAAGGCAAGGACAGACTTTTCGGTGGGCAGAATGTTTTGTTTTTGAAGCTCCAGGCTGTCACCTGGACTGTCACATCATTGTGCACCTGCCAGGCAGCCTCTGCCTCAGCTTGCAGGTGCCATTTAACTGAGTATCTGCCCATTCCCCTGTGCTCAGGCTGTCTGGACAGATTTTGCTGGCAGAACTGAGAAAGCCATTAAAAAATAATCACCTCCTTACCCCGAGCAGAAAGGGCTGTGACAGGAGAATCCTCTATCAGAGACCTGCAGTGTTGCCTGAACACAGGAGAGCAAACTTTGTGGTAAAGTTTGTTTAGGAGATTTGACTTGAGCCAAAGACCTCTAACTAATCTAAACTGTCTCCAGTGAGGGAGTTGGAGTGTGGCCAGACTGCCTTTGCTGTTGAAGATATCCACAGGCAAACAGAGGGTGTGCCAGGTAAATAGAAAGAATAAACTATGTAAGCTAAAGTGATCTTGAGAACAGTGATCTCTTTCCCAGTGTAGCTGCAGGGACTTGAGGGATTTGCTGAGAAAGAGGGAACCAGGAGCCCACCCCAGCAGGAAATCTTCATTAGGGAGAATATTTAACTCACACAACAACTTTCTTGGGGGTGGTGGAACTTCAGCCACCGGCACTCAGACTCCTTGAACATCCCTCTGGAATGTTCTGGCTTGGAATAGTTGAACAGCCAGAGCTTTTCCCTAGTCCTGGGCTTATACTTGGAAAAAATAAATCTTTTTTTCAATGGTAGCATTTCAGAGAGCAGCCATCCTCCTTCAAACTGCACAGTGGCCTTTAGACTCCCCAAATAAATAAATTTTTTTGCAGCCTGAGGTTAACACCTCGCCCGAGGCCCGTGGTGCAGCAGAGGGGCGATCACGCCTCTGTGGGTGTCGCTGCTTGGCTCGAGCAGCTTCCTGTGGGGTGAGGTTAGCATGGAAATAATACACTTAGCTAATGCCTGGGAGTGTGATCTTCACACTGAAAAACACTACAAACACCTGTGATTCCCAGTCACGGGTGCTTCGAGAAAAACAGACATTTAGAAGAGGCAAAAAAGCAAACGTACGGTACCAAAAGTGTGTCGTGCAGCTTTATTATCCTGTCACTTTTCCTTCAGAAAATGGGGGAAGTTACCAGCGGCCACAGTATGCCAAGGCTGGGATTTTCCACTGCTCCCAGCTGGTGTTTTAGTCTCATAGGATGCAAGGAGTCAACACTGCCTCATTCCCAGTGAAATAAATAGTGTTGGAAGCTGGATTAATGTGCTCTGTCACATCACTGCTGCTGTTGCAGAGAACTTCTTGGAGCTTGGAGGTTTCCAGCAGTTGATTGTAGCAAGGAGTGCACACACCAAGTGCCTCATCAGTTTTCTGCCTCAAGGCACAGCAGGAAGATGCTGCTGCTGGGGCTGATTTCGCCCCATCTCACTGTCTGATTAACAGAACTATGCAGTTGGTTCTGGGAGCTGCTGGAAGGAGCAAGCAGTGGCCAATCCCATAGAAAAAGGGTATTTTTTCACTGTCATCAGCAGCCTGAGGTTCATCTTCCTCATTACCAATCTGTTTTAGGTTGACATTAAATGAGTTTCTGGATCCTGTGGTGGCCTGGCCTTTCAGTTGTGAATAGGGGAGGCTCTTTGAGAAACCACAAAACCTTCGAAATTGTCCTCAAGTCTAACCAATGGTCTTTTTCTTTGTTTAGCTCGAGGTGAAGGTGGTCACTACTGAGAGAGCAAAACATTTCTACAATGCCCAGGAGATTCCTGTGACCCTCTATGGTGATGAAGAGGAGTGGCAGGTGAGTTGTTCGTGCAAATAGAAGCATTCTTCTAAGTTTTCTTGCAAGAAACCACACTTAGTTCTTTTTTAAACCTGGGCCAAGACTCACTCCTTGGTCTAGTAATAAACGCTCAGAATGTGGCTTTTGAAGAATGTGATGTAAATGAGGAGGAAGTGAGAGGCTCCTCTGATGCATTGCAGGATTTTGTCCTGCAGCAGGCAGGGAGGGTAGCAATGGTCTCTCTCCACCCTGGGCCCAGCTGCTCTGAGAGCAGTGTCAGGAAATGTCAAGACCGCCCCTGCAGACCACGGTGAGCATGTTTGGTGCTTGTCATGAGTCATACTTGTCACGAAAGCAGCAGCTTCATTCTCCTTAGCTCAGCTGTCAGGGCTGTGAACATCTCTGTTCCTTGTGAAACAGCTTTTTCTCCTGGCTGCAGTTTTACTGATACACTTTGAGAGTCCTTGAGTATGAAGAGGTTCATTGTGCAAGCATCAAGATTTGTTTTTCCATGCATTTCATCCCTGCTTTGCAGTGCTGATCTGAGCACAAGGTGCTCTCTCCTTACCCCTATTCCTGCTCACACGTGAGCATCACTTTTAAGTGGACAGAAACATACCAATGGCAACAGCCAGGAAACTTTGTCTTTCAGGAATTGGTGGATACCTACTGAATCCCAGGGTGCTACAGCCTCAGGCAGTTATTTCTGAGGAACCCTCAGTGGGGTGATGGAAGAGGTGCAGGTCAGGCTCTGAGGTCTGCTGGCACACTGGAGAGCAGGCACAGAGTCCTTGTGGTGGGAAATAATCACTGAATGGTTTGGGTTGGAAGGGACCTCAAAGCTCATCCAGTTCCATCCTGTGCCATGGGGAGGGACACTTTGCACTGTCCCGGGTTGCTCCAAGCCCAATCCAAACTGGCCTGGAATATTTCCAGGGAGGGGCCAGACACAGTGTCTCTGGACAACCTGTGCCAGGGTCTCCCCACCGTCACAGGGAATAATTTCTTCCAATATCCCATCTAACCCTGCCCTCTGGCAGCTGGAAGCCATTTCCCCTTGTCCTGTTACTCCAGACCCTTGTAAATAGCCTCCCTCCATCCTGCTGGCTCCTTCAGGCACTGGAAGGACACAATTAGATCATCCCAAAGCCTTTTCTTCCCCAGCCTGAGCCACTTCTCTCAGCCTTTCCTCATGGGAGAGCTGCTCCATCCCTCTGCTCAGCTTGATGGCCTTCTCTGGGCTCAGTGTGACAGCCTGCTCAGCATCTCTTTGGGAGATGCTTCACTCTGACAATGAAACAAGGAGAAAGAATAGAAGTGAGTGGAGGAGGTGGGAAAGGTGCTCGGGAAGCCCCAGCTTTTCGGATGCTGCCTTTTTGTTGTGGCTTCCCGTGACTCAGAGAAGGAGCAGTTTGTGGCCCTGACACAGCCCCTGCTGGCCTGTGGTTGGGTGTCCTCTGGGGAATAAGCAGCTGATGCTGTTTGCTGCTTCTCAAAACTCCTTCCAAGTTTACTGAGCTCTTGAGACCAGGGTTCTCTTGAGCAATTCAGGGCTTTAGTGAAAACAGAAATACTCACTCAAGAGTGAGTATGTCAAGGAGAAGCTGTGCCTGCCCCATCCCTGGAAGTGTTCAGGGGTTGGATGGGCCTTGGAGCAACCTGGTCAAGTGGAAGGTGTCCCAGCCCATTGGACAAGGTGAGCTTTAAGGTCCCTCCCAACCCAAACCATTCTGTAATGCTGAGAGAGGAGGGAAGTGCCAGACTGGATAAACTTCATCCATCGTGAAGAAAGCCAACAAGACACTGTTCCTTGCAGCTCTTAGGAGGGTTCCCTTTGCTGCTGTGAGTGTGAGTAGGGTTGTTTATCCTAATTAAAAGTGACTTACTCAGTTAGGGGTCTGTACCTCGTGAGAAGCTAGTGGGCAGCTTCACTTCAATGTGAAGCTTATAAATCACATGGGTTCCCCAGGAAAGGTGTACCCCTGGTTTGGGCCTGCCTGGCTCAAGTGGCTGAAGGATGGAGCTCTTAGGAATAATTCCAAAGCTGAGGGATGCTGTGGATGGGGACAGCTCTTTGCTGTGAGGTGAAACCTGCTCTTGTCAGATGTGTGAATTGCCTTGTGGTGAAAGGATTTCCCCATCCGCTGATCTGCTGCTATCCCTTGAAATCCATAAGGGAAATTCCATAGGGATTCCATAAGGAATTGTTTCCTGGGGTGGGCTTGATGAAGTGTGTGAGGGTTTGGTGCTCCCCACAGCTGTGGAAGGGCCGCTCTGACCCCGTCCTGCACATTGAGCTCCGGCGCTGGGCTGACCTCATGGTGGTGGCACCTCTGGATGCCAACACGCTGGCAAAGGTGGCCAATGGCATCTGTGACAACCTGCTGGTGAGTACCTGGACTCTGCCTGCCACTGCTGCCACCTCTCAGCACTGCCTGACCTTGTCTCCATGGAATCTCAGTGCTTCTGCAGCAGATTTGCATGTTCTGCTCCCCCTTCATCTGCTTGTCTCTCTCTTCCCCAGCACAGTTCCTCTGCTCCTTATCTTTCCTTCCCACTCCTCAGCTCTGTCAGTCTCTCATCTCATTTCCCAGTCCTTGCTTTGTGTCTTCCCTGCTTTTTCTGGAGGGTGGTATTTCCTTCTGCCTCCATCCTCTCTCTGTCGCTTGTACACACAAACACATGCTCACTCACTTTTGAGTCCCTCTGTGTTTTTTCAATGCAATCTGGAAAGACACCTGTGAGATCAGATAAAACTGTTTACTTCCTGCTACTTCACCACCTCCCTCACCTAACATAGCACAGACTTTCAAATATGCTCGTGCCCACTTACTTCCCAGCCTCAGCTACAGAGGATTTTGTTTGTTCTTTGGTATTTAAAGTGTTCTTTAGGCTCTTTAGGCTAATCAGAAAGTGTATTAAAAGGAAGTGTGCTTCTTTGTTGGGTGCTGGGGACCTTCAGCAGGGCTGAATGTTTTGTGGCCAGGCATGAACCATACAAAAGATCTCAGGAAGGTGCAGATCGGTGTGACCTGCAGCTTTTTGGGTATGAAGTGCATATAAATGAGCAAAATCCACCCGGAGCAGATTGCTGGGGATCTGAGAGGAGCCAGAAAGAGCTGTGGGAGGGACAAGCAATGTCTTGTCCTTCCGAGTCCCTTGTGGGTGTGCTGGTTTAGCAGAGGGAAGAGCTCAGGAAGGATGTCAGGGATGCATGGCTTCACATGCTCCTGCTGATCTTGGAGAGCCTTGTGAAGAGAAGAGGCAGCTCCAGGAAAGGAAAGTGAGGGCTGGAGGTGCTGGTTCCATCATATTTCCTTGTGCTGGGAAGGGTTCAAGTCAAGGGGTATGGAAAAGGATGGGCAGGGTTCCTGCAAGGACTCTGTGATCTGAGCTGCTCCCTTGGAAGCTCCTTTGTTTGAAATTCTCCAAGGCCTGGGGAATCCCATGGACACTGCACTAAGAACAACCAGCATTTATCTTTCCAAGAGGATGAGGTGATCCTGGGTTATCTGGAAGTGCTGAGGAGTCAGATTTGATTGTCTGTAGCACACAGGAGCTGCCAAATGCTTTGTAACCTGACAGCATCTCCTGCAGCAGCCCAGATGTGCTCATGTTCTCCTCTGTTGTATCCTGGAAGCAGCATTGCTTCCCTTGCAGGGAATTATGGATCCAGCTGGCATATCATGTCAGAAAGACTCATTGCCAAATTGCAGTGTTCAGCTTTGTTATCTGAAGTGTTGCCCCGGGGGTTTCTTTGTAGCCAAGAAGATCTGTGGCCACCTCTCAGCTTTTTTTGTGTCCCACACAGTCTGTACACATCTTGTTCCAGCTTGGTTTGCTCCAACCTGGGCTACTGGCTGGAGCAGGGTGGGATTTATCCTCTGGGCAGCCTCCCTCATCTTCTCTGCCTGTCAGAGATGAGCTTGGCTGGAATGTGCTACAAATCAGTGTAGGAAGGAAGTGAGGAAATCCAAGGGCTCCCTTGGCTTCTCCCGCAGACCTGCGTGATCCGTGCATGGGACCTGAGCAAACCCCTGCTCTTCTGCCCAGCCATGAACACGGCCATGTGGGAGCATCCCATCACAGCTCGGCAGGTGGAGCAGCTGAAGAGCTTTGGCTACACAGAGATCCCCTGTGTGGTGAAGAAACTCGTGTGTGGAGATGAAGGTCAGTCCTTTTCCAGGCTCCTGCCCCTTTCCCTCCTTCGTCCTCCCTCCCTCCTCTGCCGTGGCTGCCACAGTTTGTACAAACAAGCTGGAGCTTTGCCCTGTGTTATCACTTGTCATTAATTTTTAAATAGCCTTAAGAACTTCTAACTGAGCCTGATTCTGATCAGAAATGCTCATTTAAGAAGAGAGGAGATCAAAGAGAAGGAATGTTCTGTGGTGAGCGTTATTTACCTGGGATTTGGGTGTCCTGACTTTGTCCTCTGCTGGGACTGGGGGCTCTTTTCATTGTGCCTCAGTTCCTCAGCTCCATCGTTGTGGTTAAATCTTGTCCCTGAGAGCACACAGTAAGAAAAGCCCTTTGCAGATGTGGCTGGGGGTGTAGCTGGACACACGTTTAGCATTTGTTGTTGTTGTTGCCTGGGTTACTTTTTAGCTTCTCAAACAAATTTAGATTTGGGCTTTTGACACCAGAGTTCTGTGAAGTGAAAGAGGGGTGTGGAGGAAGTTCAGACTCAATACATTTAGCTTGCAGTGCTAAGAAATAATGGTCTCATTCGAGGTTTAGTAGCTGCTTTAAATGGAGGTATTTGGACTTTGGGAAGGGCTTTGATACAAACCATTTGGATGAATGGATTTGCTTTTTTATTAACATTCCATTGGGCAAATCTCTGTAAAACATCCCCCAGCCACAGCAGCTATTACCTGCACTGTACTATGCACCTATTTCTGTGAAACAGCCCCAGCTGCAGCAGGAGTTTAACCACCCTGTCAGTCCAATGAACAATCTGTGACAAAGACAGGCTCTTAAAATATCCCTCGTGGTTAAATTCTAGGCCTGGCTTAGTTTTGGAATCCTTAGGTAGGTGCAATGCCTCTAGAGATTTGTGCTTTTGGAACTGTAAACTAAGAAATATTTACACTTAGCTAAGTGTAGTCAAGTAACTCAGACATCAGTTGAAATATCCTGGATGATTAGCCTTCCACTGGGATTTTAAGACATGATTACATCAAATTTCTTCATATCCAGCTCAGCTGTGAGAGCAAACTCCTGAAGGAGCTGGGAGGAGAGGGATGCAGGGATGGCAGGAGCAGCCATGTCTAACTGGACTCCACTTGTTTGTGAGTCAATTCCCAGCAAGATCTTCCTGATGGCAAACACCAGGACTTTTCCTGGCAGCTTGTAGGGAGGTTATGGCAGGGCACTAATGGATTCCATCTCTCTAAAGACCCGAACTAGTCTCCACAAACGACTTTTTTTTCAGCCCTTCTCCTTTTCTCAGGCCTTTCACCCTACAGCCTCTTCCACACTCATTTTGGTTTTGTGGCTTCCATCCACACGGGGTTTCCCTGGTTTCCACACAAGCAGCACGTAGCAAAGCTCACACATGTGGTACAGGTTTGCACCAGTTTTGTCTGTTGATGTTGTGGTTTGTTTTGTTCTAGGAGGTTTCTCTTCCTCACCTCATGTGGTTGGGTCTCACCTGAAATGCACCAGATCCTCACTGGCCCCAAGTCTTTCCTGATGAATTTTTCTCCCTTAGTAAAGGGTGGGTTTAGACAGAAAATCCAGCTCAAAGAGTTAGAATACCCAACTGAGTTTCTTGTTTGGATCATTTCCATACTGCCATTATCTTCATCATCCTTGGCTGGATTTCTAGAGCCTGGCCCACTGGCAGATTTCCACCTGTAGGCATGAGCTGTGCTGTAAGAGTTTGCTTTGCTAAACCTAAAAATCCAGCAATCCAGCACTGAATTGCCAGAGGTGTTGGAGTAGTGGATGGTGGAGGATGAAAGCAGGCCTTGGAAGTGGTCTGGAAGGGTGTAGCTCTGCCAAGCCATGCAGAGGCAGTCTCTCTGCCAGTTGCAGCTCTTCTCCCTGAGCCTAGGAGAGCATAAGGGTCCAAATGTGCCTGCAGCTTGTCCACAGGATGCTCCAGACCTCCTGGGATTTACAGGTCTGAAAAGGAAGAAAATTATACCTCCCAGAACTAATTTACTGCTGAGCAGTAAATTGAGATCAATTAGCCAGCAAGACAAAATAGCAAGAGAGATTCCTTTTCAGTCTTCCAAAAGAGACAAATACCTGTGGGAGAAGCTTCTTTCCTCAGCTCCAGGCAAATTAAAAGAGTGAATGGCCTCAGTTCTCAATGCTGAGTTCAGCACACAAGGTTAGACAAGGTGATTTAATCATCTCAGGCTTTAAAATGCTACACCTGAGTTAAAAATTGTTTCAAAGGGAAGCAGCATCACAGCATAGATTAGGTGTTTATCTGGCAGATAACCAGGCCCAGAGAAAAAGCCCTCCCATTTTGTTTTGTCCAGCACTCAGCCTTCTCCAAGAGCTGCTCCCAAGATTCAGGCTGGTGGGAATCCACAACAGCTTTCTCTAATGGAGGTCCTTTCTCTCAGCCAGAGTCATGGGAGTGCTATGGATTTGTCAAGCCTTTTGTATAGGCAAAGACCATTTCAGAAAGATACTGAAAACACACAATTTTGAATTGAAATATACCCTGAAGAAAGGAGGTGAGATGGGGAATTTTGCCCCACACACATTTTTTAGGTATCCTCCACTCTGGATTTCACAATGTGGTTTTGCTCTTGCTCTGCAGGCCGAGGTGCCATGGCAGAAGTGTGGACCATCGTGGAAAGAGTTAAAAGGATCCTTGAAGAACGGGATGTGCCAAGGCAAAGCTGATGTTTTGGCATGTAAATGGTGGTTTTTGTGCCTTCCTGATGGTTTGGAGATAAAGGCAGCAGGAAGCTGGGCTCAGCTACCCTGGTACCCATGGCATGCATACCTTGAGCTGCTCTTCAACAGAAGGAGTCAACGGTTGTCTTCCAGCTGGTGCCAAACTGAAATGTGGTACATCACCACACACTTTCAAAAACCAGAGCCAAGAATGTGCTGCTTTAGTGTGGAAAACCCTGTGGTATCTTGGGAGTAACGTTCCCAAGGCTGCTCAGCCCCCAGTGCTTCACACCTGCTCCGTTCTGGGCAGGCTGCAGAATGTGTTTGAGCTCCAGTGGTTCTGAAGAGGAAAAGGCCCTGCAAATTCTGGTAATTCCAGCCCCTTCTAGCAAGTGTCTCTTGGAGCATTCCTGCTCTCCAAAGCCTGTGCTGGCTGCATATTCCTTCCCAGCAGGAGTCACTGTCTAAAAAGCAATTTTCCCTTTGGGAACTTAATAAAAAAGAATTTTTAATCCTGCCCCTAATGAGTTGCCTCTTGTAACTGCTCTGGGAGGTGTTCCCAGACAGTATCTTTGCTAAATTGTTGTGCCTGCATATGGTTTTTTATCAGATATGGAGAAAAACTGTCTGAAAGGAGCTTTCCAGTCCTTGTGCCCTTTTGTAGCTGTTGTCTGGAGAGGGAAGCAGGTATCAAGCTCATTCCAAAGTGCCTCCTGCCCATCTGGGTGCCCTCAGTCAGGAAACAAGCAAGGCCAGGCCTTCATGGAAAGCCAAGGGTGGGTGTTTCCCATGGGAATGAAGTCAGGCTTCACCTTTGATGACCTTTTCTGCTCGAAAATTAACTGCCTGGCATGAATAAATTGGGAAATCCTGTGCCCTTGTGGGGCACCCCCAGTCCAGCCTTTCCTTGAGAACACAATCTTGCTCCTGAGGGGAATGGGAGCTGTGGAACACGCTGCTCTAGCAGAGCACCGAGTTCATTTTTTACTAAACCCAAACAAATTTGAGGCCTTGGGTACAGCATGTGAATCCTGCCTGTGGGGGGAACCTCCAGCCTGCTGTGCACGAGGGAAGAGGTCACTAGGTTAGGTGACTTATCCATCCCACACAAATAAAACCTCTGAACTTTCCCTGTTTTGTTCTTCCACGGACAGAGATCCAGGGAGTCACAATTTCTGAGAAGGATCCTGGTGTGAGCAGAGCTTATGGCTCACACAGAGGGCTGTAATGGTGGTGTGGCTGTGACTTCTGCATTCTGCTAGGATTTATGGAGTGCCCTGCATCATGTGCTCATGTTGTCAGCCTCTCAGAGGAGCTTTCCTTAAGCTCACTGACAGTAGCAGAGATGTTTCTGGCTTCCACGAGTTCTGATGGTGAATGGTAAATGGTGTTTCTGCTGCTCACAGAGAAAAGTGTGTTTTGGCTGCTACAACTGGCACTTGTCCTTGGGGCTCTGTTGTGGCTGCCTCCTGTGCCTGGAGTTGTTTATCTCTCTTCCTGCTCCCTGATTTGGCAGCACAGAAAATCCAACAGAGATTCCTCTATCCCAGGACAAAATACCACATCCCTGATAAGAACCTTTCTCTTTTCCAAGCCTGCTTTACCGCCTTAAGCTGCTGCAGAAATGTTGACAAGTGATCCTCTGTGCAATTACTGTGATTTTTTTTTTATTTTTTTTATTTTTTTTTTTTTTTTTTTATTGGAAGCAGGTTTTGATAACATTCCAGGCTGGGATAAACCCATGCCCAAACCACCTTTCCTTCAGGGAAAATAGAAGAAACAGTTAAGTTCCTTCTGGGAAGTAGGAGCAGCTTCCAGCCTGGCACAGGTACAGATCCCCACCCGTGGCAGGGCAGGCAGGAGCTGCTCCCTGTGGAAAAGGAGCAGGAATAGACCTGAAGGAAGCCCTGGCTGCTTGAGGAGGTGACTTTGGGACAGTGTATTTCTAGGACAAGGCTTGGGGTGGTGATGAAGGACCTGATTCTAAACCAGGGCTCTGTGCCAGCTTGGGGAATAGGCACTGCCAGGCTCTCCTTAAGCCGGTGAGATCACCAAGAGGTGTTGAGGGATGGATCCCTCAGGGCATTCAGGCTTCCACCTCCACCCCTCACAACTCTGTGTGTGACCCAGGTTCACAGGCCTGAGACACTTGCCATGAGCTTTTTCTTTTCCTTCAGCTCTTCTTTCTGAGCCACACTCTGATTTTTTTTTTGTTTCACTTTCCCATGAAACTCTCAGATGACCGAGGCAGCACCCCCATGAATCCTGCTGTGTTGCAATTTCATTCATCCTGCTTAAAACTGTTTCTCTCAGCATGGCTTGGGAGTGAATAAAGAGCAGGGACAAAAGCTGAGCAAAGGCAGCAGCCCACCTCCTTTCCTGGGCTTGGATGTGCCTCTCAGCATCCCTGGCTCTGGCTGCTTCCCCCCATCCCAAACTCGATGGGGTCCCTTTGCTCTTTGGATTCGGGGAGCACTGGAGGAGGATGGAGAGGCTGTGGTGCTGTTTTGGTCTGGCTTTGATCAGGAGTTGGCTCTCCAGCTTGCCTGTCCCATCCCACTCCTCTATCTTGGGAGCCTGCAGCAGGAAAAAAAAAACATCTGAAAAAAGTGACAAAACCTCCCCACATTTAGACTTTGAGCCTCGGTGATGCACCTGGTGCAGTGGCTTTGCACCTCGGGGCTCCGGATGTGGCACCTGCCCCCCTGGCGTGGGGATGCCGCCCACTCCAGATCCCCAGGGCACGTGAGGTGGCAGGAAGTGGGTTTGTCCCCAACCACAGCCCAGCCAGGCACTGGGGGAGGCCAGGGGTTGCCACACGGTGACAGATCAGTGGTGGCAAGTGGGAACTGGAGGTGTTGGGAGGGTTTTTTCCTTTGCTTGCTCTGTCAGGGTTCAAAACAACACCATGAGACACGAACCTTCCTCTTGTAAGACTGCAGTGACAGTGGAAAAGGGAGATGGTCCAAAGGGATAGTGGTGGTTCCAACCTCTGCCCTCGTGGTTTGCTTTCCATGTGCTAAATTTTTTTGTCTGACTTGGGAGATGCTGGGAAGCAGCTGCATGGCTCTGAGTGGTGATAAGGCAGTGCCAAAAGACCCAGCAGGGCTCAGCACAGACTCCTTGGCACCAGCAAAACCGATAGCTTGGCTTATGTGGGGCAACCTCCCAATTAAACCTTGCAGGTGTAGGGTTCTTCCCCTGGCCACCTGCCTCGGTGGGTACTTGAAAAATTGTTTCCAGGAGTAATTGAGCATAATTAGAAGCTTGAATTCCCTGGAGCTGGGATGCTCAGAGATGCACAGGGGACTGAAATAATCCAATGGGGCTAGGTCTCATCCTGTCTGGGATTTTATTCATGGGATCTCATGTTGTGCTTTAGATGGAGATGGGGTTTCTTTCTCTGGGAATGCTGGCTTTGGTGTTGTACCTCACTTTTCTGACTCCCCAGGGAAAATGGGATAAAGGGGATGGAATGACCAAAAAGCCTTTGTGCTGTCCAGGGAGATGGGGAATAAAGGTCACTTTAGTCATCACGGTAAAGATAAAATGAATATACTCTTAACCACAGGCTCCTGGGATCATAAAGGGAAATAGACTCTGCATGGAAACTCCTAAAATCAGGCTTAAAATCAGGCTCCAGCAAGTGTGATCACAAAGACCCCTCAATGTGAAATCGAGGAGTGCTTGCTGTGCTCCCAATTCCCTGTCCCATGGCATTCAACCCCTGGCAAGTCATCGTTGGCCACCGCCAGCTGTGGGGAGAGAGCACCCCAGTGGCCCTTTGTCCCCTGGTCCCACAGGAGTATCCAGAAAATCCCCCCACATCCTTCTTCCAGTGCTGGGCAAGCGTGCCAGGACAGGCAGTGCCAAAACAAGCTGGGGGAGGGCCAGCATAGTGATAAAAGCTTTATAAAAGGGATTTATTCCTCCATGGCTCCTTGGATGGCTGGAAGAGCCTTTCCCCAGGAGAGCTGTGCCCCCAAGAGCAGCCTGAGCCCCTAGCCTGGTTCTGCTCTGTCTCACTTGATTTCCACAGGGTGCTTGGGTGGTTCATAGCTTTGGATAAATATGATTCATGAACTCCAGCGTGATAAGGATGAGGGAGGAAAGAAAAGCCACGTCAACCTGAAGGAATGTGGCTGGTAGAGAGCCCAGCCTGGGGCTGGCAAAAGCCCTGGGAGAGGAGATCAGGCGTAAAAAGGGACAAGAGGAGAACATATGCCTGAAAAAATAGCTGAAAACTTCCCATCCCTGTTTCAGGGGCTCTTGTCCCCCAAATACACTGCAGCTCTGAGGCCACGGGATGGCTCCAGATAAACTCCACGGCCATGGGTCAGCAAAACTTCCTAAGTGTGGGTAATTAATCCTGTTGTGTTTGCACAGGGCTGACTGTGCTCCCGAGGCTCCAGCCTGCCTCCAGACCACTGCTCTGCTTCCCTGAGGATCAGGAACCCCCGTGGGGTCTGGGAGCCGTGCCAGAGCCGTGCCAGCCATCCCAAAGCAAGCTCCTGTGTGAGTGGCAGGCAAGGGAAGCATTGTCCCTTCGTCCCCCTGCCTGCTGGGCACATGGCCGTGCCGAGATTTCCTTCACCTCTGGGAATGAGGGTGGCAGGGAAAGCCCTGACCTGGTTCCCGCTGCCCCCTGTGTAAACACATCACGTTTGCCATCCTGGCAAGCACAGCCCCTTTATAAAGGCAGCAAAATTTGGCTGTAATGAGAGAACACGGCCTTTATCAGAAAGAATTCCAGTTCTGGGATGTGCCAAGGCACAGGCAGACCTCTGCCCCTTGTTCCCATGCAGAATATCCTTCCTGAGGGCGGGGAGCTCCTGCTCTTGCAGCATCCCCAGGGAGTCTGCATCCTGCATACCCTCGGGGTGAGTCTGCTCTGAGATGCTCTGGGTGGATGTTATTTACAGCAACACTTCTCAGCGATAGGAAATCGCCCTTGGTGCCGAGAGTAAAAAAAAAGCTGCTGAGGTGCGAGCAGGGTGCAGCTGGAGCACCCGAATACCTGCAGCCCGTGAACCCTGCCGGTTGCCTCAGCACAAAGTCAATATTGACCCTCTGTCGGTGCTGGCACGCACCCGCTGCCACAGCAGAACAAAGCCCAGCGCGTCCCTCCGGCACCGCCTCTCTGTGCCGCCTCTTTAAAAACAATCATCATTCAATTATTGCGTCTGCCGGGGCTTTCTTGGAAGTCGAATAGCTGGGAAAAGCCGTAGAGAAAGAGAGCTCCAGCTGCTCTGCTTCTTACTCCTCACCCTTCTCTCCCTCCCCTGAGCCAGCATCCATCCTCTCCCAGAGCACCCACCCAGGTCGGATCGCTGCAGGGTAGGGACATCACCTCACATCCCATCACATCCCCAGCTCCTCGGAGGGCACTGTTGTGCCAGAACCGGGACATGGGAACTGGCAGCACCCCAGGGAAATAAAAAGTGAAGTTCTTTGAAGGCTTGGCCTCCCAAGGGGGAAGGTGATGGGGGAGCAGAGAGGAACCAAAACCCAGCAGTG